CCACCTTCCTCAGGATCCACTGATTTCCCTCTTTCCTGTTCACTCTCTCTCTGTCTTAACATTTTTTCTTTTAAATCCCAATTGCCTATTTTTGCTCATTTTAAATATATTTTTAAACATTTTCTAAATGCTTTTTTATATTTTTACATTTTTTGTTTTTTTGAAGCGCCTCGTGATTTTTATCTTGAGAGGTGCTATAGAAATGATATTTTCTTCTTCTTCTGCAGCAGCCTTGATCACCCAGGTCTGCCATGTCACACACAGTTGACTATTTGCCCAACATTCATTCCCTCTACCTGCCTGTCACAGTGATGTCAGGCTGCGCTGGTGAGCTTGATCATAAACAATGACACATGCGCCACTGACGCTCTGTCTTTAATTCCAAGGACAGAGCTATGTTGTGTATAACCAGAAGACCACTCTGGGCGTGCCTCAGCTTACCAGACCTTGTAGCTGGGATATTTTGTCAAGAACAGTTGTGTTTACAAAACAAACCCACAGTAAGAAATGGAAGTCATATTGAAGTAATGGAAGTAGAAGGTCAAGTAGAAGTTGAAAAGGGAAATTTGATTAGTTCCTGTGACTGATGCTTAATAGCAATGTTTATTAAAAAATGCACATTTTAGTGCATTTGGTTTGTATTTTTTTTTCATTAATTATCAATGTGTTATGTGCTAATGTGCTACATCTTTTACTATGTTGCCATATTGTAAGTCTTGCTTTATCTTTTATTCCTGATCTCTACACAGTAATGGAACCAGTATGATCTCGTTGATCATCCCTCCAAAGGACCAGATATCCAGAGTGGCCAAGATGTTGGCCGATGAGTTTGGCACTGCTTCAAACATCAAGAGTCGAGTTAACAGGCTTTCTGTACTTGGGGCCATCACGTCTGTGCAGCAGAGACTAAAACTCTACAACAAGGGTATGCGTTAAAAGAAGTCTTTTTGGATTTAGAAATTTAAATTGTAAATGCACCCTGATAGGTATGTTTAAGTCTTTTGTATTCCTGTTGAAACTTAATTTTTGTTCAATCTGTTGTCCATTTATATCCTTGTAGTGCCACCAAATGGTTTAGTTGTGTATTGTGGCACAATTGTGACAGAGGAAGGCAAGGAGAAGAAAGTCAATATTGACTTTGAGCCTTTTAAACCAATCAACACCTCTTTGTACCTCTGTGACAACAAGTTCCACACTGAGGTGAGATGTTTCACCTGATCTCTTTTTTCCATCTCTGTTTTTCTCCCACCAAGAATATTCATGGGGTCTAAATTCATCTTTTACATCTTTCCCCCCTTCCACTTCTATCACATTTTATTTCCTTCTATGCTATCTACCAACACAGGCATTGACAGCCCTGCTCTCTGATGACAGTAAATTTGGGTTTATCGTCATTGATGGTAGTGGAGCACTCTTTGGCACACTGCAGGGCAACACCAGGGAGGTGCTGCACAAGTTCACTGTGGACCTACCCAAGAAGCACGGTACTAAACCACAAGAATCACAAAAGGCCACTTTTTCACGAAACGTGTAATATGTATGAATTTTTAAGCTTTGGGGTCTGTTATAAAATAGTCATAAATATTGTCTTGTCCTCTTTCAGGCAGAGGAGGACAGTCTGCTCTGCGTTTTGCACGTCTAAGAATGGAAAAGAGACATAACTATGTGAGAAAAGTAGCCGAGACAGCTGTCCAACTCTTTGTTTCCAATGACAAAGTGAATGTGGCGGGGATGGTCCTGGCTGGCTCTGCTGACTTCAAGACTGAACTTAGTCAGTCTGACATGTTTGACCCAGTAAGTTAAAAAAAAATAATAATTTAACATTCTTTAAGATGTTCATTACATCACTTTTAATTATCGGCTTGATTAGAAATACAACAACACTATTAGACTAATTTATAAACATTTTGCCACGAAACTTTTTTGTAAGAGGCAAGTTAAATGTCTTCACTTTTTTTTACATTTTTAGTTTATTTATTTTTACATTTTTAGCTTATTTATTTGTTTGTTCAGTTAAATAAAATTAAAATCAAGGACTAAAACAATCGACCACATGGTTAAAAATATACCTAAAACATAAGTGGGTTAGTATATATTTGTTTTTGATTTTTTCATATCTTAAACCGTATGAATATTTAGTGGACCCACTTCAATAATACCTTCAGTGAAACTTGTTCTGTCTGAATTTTGTCACCTTCATGCACTGACATGTACTTGTTTACCACAGAGGTTACAAGCGAAGGTTTTGAAGCTGGTTGACATCTCATATGGAGGCGAAAACGGTTTCAATCAGGCTATTGAGCTTTCAGCAGAGGTCCTTTCAAATGTCAAATTCATCCAGGAGAAAAAACTCATAGGTGAGGTATCAAGATTTTATTTTAAGATGCTAGTGGTTGACATTTTTCTTACATTTTTCCTTCTTCCTTGTGTCAACAGGACGGTACTTTGATGAGATCAGTCAGGACACGGGCAAGTACTGCTTTGGAGTGGAGGACACACTCAAAGCCCTGGAAATGGGAGCAGTAGAGATCCTCATAGTGTATGAGAACTTAGACACCATGCGTTATGTTCTACGTGTGCATGGGGCGGAGAGCAATGGCGCAGAGAATGGTACACAAACCAATGTTTTTATGACAGCCGAGAGACAGGTTTCATAGTTTAAATGATCTTTTTCTAATTGGCTTTTTCAGATGAGAAGATTTTGTACTTGACGCCAGAGCAGGAGAAAGACAAGTCGCACTTCACGGACAAGGAGGTAGGCACTGCAGACAAAAGACGGCTCTGCAAAGTAAATCTGACCGGTTTTCCTCGGTTCCATGCTTTTCTGATTCTGTGTTTCTAGACGGGGCAGGAGCATGAGCTGATCGAGAGCATGCCGCTGCTTGAGTGGTTTGCGAACAACTACAAAAAATTTGGAGCCACGCTGGAAATTGTTACGGACAAGAGCCAGGAAGGGTCCCAGTTTGTTAAGGGCTTTGGAGGCATTGGGGGTAAGCTCATGGTTGACGGATGGTTCTGCTGATCATTTACAAAGTGGAATTCAATGTTTCAGGCATTGAGTTTGGCCAATAGAAGTGCTTGTTTGTACTCATTATCTTGTGTTACAATATTGAATGGTCTTTGGCATCCACAGGTATCTTGCGATACAGGGTGGATTTCCAGGGCATGGAGTACCAAGGAGAGGATGATGAGTTCTTCGATTTGGATGACTACTAGGTAGTCTTGGACTGAAATCGGGCCGAGAAAATTAAAGGAATGGATGAAGAAATTTGAAATTCTTAATAAAAATGCCACCTCTCTTGCAGCAAGTGAGAGGAGCAACTGTGTTGACCATATGTATGACAGACACACCTTCCAATTTACTTGTTGCATTCACAAACTTGCAAATACATCAGTACACACATCAAATGCATCAAACAGGCTGAAGAGGATCGAGAATTTCTTTCCCCTTGAGAGGGAGAAAGCCCTTCCCGAAAAAATCCCTGCCTTAGTGCTGGTTCCTTCCCCTTGTTGGATTGGACTTGACTCTGGTTCAATTTTCCCCCTCCTGACCTCCATTATGAACACAACAGCAAGTTCACAGATTGCTCGTTGCCCCTTACTTGGTCTGAAGATGGACATTGGACTCACTTCTCAGATATAAAAATTATATTTTCTTTTCTTTCCTCATCATGCCCCTTCTATCCCTTATTCCCTCTATGCTTTCTCTATTTTTGTTTTGGCATTTCATTTTTTTACTGGTAACTGCTGCTGTTGTATTTTATGAGAGCGGGGGATTTTTTTTACCTGGGATTTCTGTAGAGAAAGAGGGACAAAGTATTAAATTTGAACTGCTGAAAACCATTGCTACCTCCTCATCTGCTGTGGTCTTGCCACTGTGCCATGTGTGACTTGTTATTGAGGATGCCAACCCTTCACTTTCCTGGCCCTAAAATTAAATACACAAGCCATGTATAAGTGGCATATGCAAAACTTACACTAGGCAACCTGACATAGATTTATTCTAGTCTGCATGAAGAAATCACATCAGATATATTCAGTGATCATCTCTGGCCTTACAGTGAGCTTTCAAGACACAATTTACTTCACAAGTGTCCTTTTTCCTCAGATTCCATTTATGATGTAGATTTATCCTAGACTTTTTGTATTTATACCTTCATTCAGAACGTAAATGTATCAATGCAATCCAACAGATGCAACTTTTAAAAATGAAATGCAACCTGTTTAGAAAAAAAGAATTTGCCGTATGCCTGTCTTAATAAAAAACAGTACAAGGGTGGGGTTTTATTTACAGTTCTGGATAGATTTGAGGTAATTGTTTTTAGATACATGTCAGTAAATAACATTTTTAAACCCTCAAATGTTTGACAAGCTTAATTTCATTTGATAAACCTCTTTCTTTACGGGGAACATTCAAGCATTCTTAAATATTTTAAATCTATTGGAGAAAAAAAATTCAAATGTTTTTTTGAATACAAGTGCCCAAGCACCCTACTCTACACCACATCCTAGGCAGTAATGTACATTTAAATCTCTTAGGAGGAGGGATGTGCTCAACACACCATTACTTCTAAGAGAACTGGGTTCATAGAAATGCCTTAGCAGATGTGAACTTAGGACCAAACAAATCTTAGCATGATAGTTCCTGTCATTTGAACCCGTGACAGTCATGGGGTTTTTGAAAATGCACTGAATTTGGGATGGACATGGCTCTGATAAATTCTGACCTAAGCATCACTTTGATGCCACGCTGAATTTAAATGATTAAGTACCTCTAATTCTAGTTATACCAACATCCTGCAACATTTCATAGCAACGCTATGCGGATGATTGATTTTGCCTTAGTGTATCCCTCTCCAGGATAGCAACAGCATCTTCATCCATTTGTTTGGGGGAGTCACCGGGAAAAGCCTTGGTAGCAATGCGAGCCAATCAATAAAAGGCAAGACATTCATGCCCCGCCTTCTTAGACAAGTGATATCCTATCAGCGTCTCTCTTTATTGTATGGGCGTTCCCATCCCCCCACCCACTCCTTTGACACTGCCTAACCAAAGCTGTGTGGTTGTGCGAAGTGAATGACGTCTCTGAATTTGCGGGCCGCCGACGCAGGGCTGGGTTTCCATTTTCACACCGAGTTTCGGGGGGGATCATCAACATGGAGCCGGAGATGGAGGACAAAACGGTGGAACTGATGGTAAGGTCTTTTTCAGTATGGTCTACTGGGCCTCCGAAAGGACATATGTTAACCATTTATTGGGAGAAGCGCCGAGGCTCGAATCGATTCGACGGTAGGAATGAGCTAAAGCGGCTTGTCGGGAGAGGTGGAGGAGAAAGGAGGGGGACCAGAAATCAGAGGGAGGCCCTGAAACTACTTGAACATTTTAAGAGAAAAGCTCAACTCTGGTTGGATTGAAAAGGGGGAGCTGTGTAGGAGTATACATTGAATGTGAAACGTGTGGTTTGGTACCGAATTTGTTAATATTGAGAAGTTAATAGGTTAATGTTCACTCGTCGGCGGAAGACAGGCGAGGAATCTTGGTGTAGCGTTCACTGCGGTGACGCTGCGCCACTTTAACAGGGCCCTGTCTGACATCTAACTAGCCGTCCTGCTAACACTGGCTAGGAGGCGATGAACCACGTCAATTTAAGCGTAACATTGTAATATTATGTAGTTTATGAATGAACCTCACACAAGCTAATAGTTCCCAGGAGCAGTTAAACATATGTCACAATACAATGAAAGGTAGCAGGTATTCTACGCTCGTGTGTTTATATTTTTAAGTGCGTAGAAGGAAGTGCTTTTTCATTTACACACGACCATTAGCAGTTAGCTTAAAAACTAGCATGCTAAAATAGCTCGTATTCTTGGCCGATGCTTTTATACCGAAACACACAATTAGTTGTGTCACAACAACCTTTTTGATACGCTGAAAGATGAAGTAACTCATTTGTAAAACCCATCTTTTAAGATATCCATATTCAGTGAATTGTTTTAACAGTTTTCTACTTTACTCGGTAAGCCAGCCACAAAATGTTAGCTTACTTAGTGTTAGCCATTATCAATATATTGAAGACTGTGGTCGGGTGAAGCCTTTAATTTTGTGCTGAAACTGGTTTTCTTTTTAGTTAACTTATACAGTAACTGAGTACTTCTTCTCTAATTGCTTTATATAAGTTTTAAATGTCTCAAAATCCCCACCGACCTTAATTCGTATGACAATTGTTTCAATTACAATGTACAATCTTGTGTGACACGACGTTTATTTAGGATAAAATGGAATAAAGCATTGATAGATATAATTTGGGAGTAATCTCTATGCGTTTAAATGATTACTTTTTAATCTCTTACATATCGGAGATGATTATCAGTTTCTAAACTACACACAAGTATAGTGTTACACAGTAGATGCCAGATTAAAGATGGTGTGCTTTATTAGATTTATTGTCTCATATAAATCCCTTTAGAGAACTCTAAACTATAAATCTGTAGAAATGAAAATGTATGAACATACTAATACAGTACCACTTAAGTAGAACTGCGTTTAAAACAAAACTGGTCTATTATTAAATTAGTTTGAATACGTAGGTTTTATAAACCACGTTTATTGTGTTTAATACAAGTATTGTCTTTTGTCATTGATTCTTTACTTTTCTAAACTTATTCACACAAAATATTACACATTAGTAAAGCATTACATTTGTTCTCTGCTTTTGCAAACTAAACGTGTAAGCTTTTAGAGAATGTTCTCTTTTTTTTCTCTGGGTTGTGTGTCTGTTTACTTTTTGTTTATTTATTTTTGTCCCAGTGTTACTCACTAACCACTCATGAGAGTGGGGATGGCAGAACAGTGGGTGGGGTTTGTGTTAAATCAAGGACAAGAACTGTCAACCAAATGTGTCGCCCCTCCTGCTTCTCTACCTATCTCCACCCAGTTCATGTCTAATAATGCTTTCATGTGTATGTTTATCAGTCTGTATCTTGCGTGTGAATGAGTGAGTGTGTGTATGTGTGTTCCTACGCTCACTGTGCCAATGTGTGTAGCTCTAATACTGGTTTTTCCCCTCACTATCCCCCCACCTCTTCCCTCTTTTTCTCTTCACCTTTTGATGGTTACACACTCGCCTTCTCTCAATTTCAAACCAAACTCTGTTTATTTATTCATTAATTTTGTATTCTTGCACAAAACCACACCCCACTTCTTCTGTTCTTCACCAACTCTCCCACTTCATCCGTCCATCCATTTGAGTCATTCATTCACTCGCCTCTTTTTGGTTTCCTCTGCCCAAATCTCCTCATCAACCCTCCCCTCTACTTTTTCTCTCCCCATCTCTGGCCTCTTGCTCTTCTTTTTCCTCTTTCACCCTATCCACTCGGTTCTCCTCTTCCCTTCCTCCCTTCCTCTCTCTCTTTCACACAGTGCTCTGTGCCTCGCTCTCTCTGGCTGGGCTGCTCCTCGGTGGCTGAGAGTTTGTGTGCACTCAGGTGCCTGCAGAGCATCCCCTCCACCCGGGCTCACAACCAGGTTCTGCCTCTCTCCTCTTAAATTCTGCTGCTCCTCCTTTTCTCCCTTCCTCCCTTGCCATCTCATCCCTCCTCTTTTTTTTGACCTCTCCACACAAGTCCTCTTCCCACTATAGTGCAGACAGCATCCACTCACGATCCACCTCACCACCATCTGTTGTCCTTTCCTCCTGCTCAGCTCTTGGGTTCTTCTCTGGTGCCTCTTCCAGCTCTTTCTGTTGGAAACAAAATTTTAGACTAACATTTAAATTTTTGTCCAAAGAAAAAAAAAGTTTTTAGCAAAAGGGCCACTTTTGCAACAAGATGATAATTAAAATTTCTTGCCATGTGAATGGAGGAAGCTATCAGAGAATAACCACGCATTGAGGAGTGAATTATTTTATCCTACCAGAAGGTGTGAGGGCCGAGGTGAGAGGGGGCCTTCCTTAAAGCTCTGAGAGGCCATGTGCTTGCTTGCTTTTCTGCCTTGCATAACCTGGTCTGTTTTATGTTCTTTTCTGTTCTTTTTTCTCTGCATGATTACCAGCAACATTGTTTTGGCTGTGTGTCCTGTCTGCTCCAGCGTTTGTACTTGGACCTTCCATTTATGTGGTTGTATTTATAGCAACCACTAATCTGTTTTGGCAGCTTTGCTTTTTCTCATGATGTCTCTACAATTCTTCCTACTGTAACTGATACACATTGGCACCAGATGGATGTCCAGATCCATCTTCTTTGCTGGGAAAGTGCTAACAAGGAAATTTGGTTGCAGAAATTTGCCATTTAAGCCAACTTTAGGGACTATAAGCAAGTATACAAAAGCATTAACAATTGGGAACTAAGTCTGTCACTCAAAGGTAGCATGGATGTCCTTTAGCTGTGGCTTCAGTCTCAACATGCTGCACAGGGCCTGCACAATAATGCAAATTTTACCCAAATTTTACTGACTCATGCAAATGAGTGTTAAAAAGACCAAACATCTAGAATTGGATGTCGTCGGTCACAACTAGAACCAGGAAAGAATCTCTAACAGCGCACTCAACTTGACAGTAGTGGTGTCAGCCTATGGTTGGCTGTAGAACATTTAGCCTGATGTATACTTCTCCATCAGCTCGAGTGTGGAGTCGTGCAAATGCATTGACTGAGAGGTTTTCAATTCAGACTTCTCTGTCACCTGTGGATTGTTGCAAAGCAAGTCTCCCCCCCCCCCCCCAGCCCAACAGAGGGTATCCTGCCACCATTACAGTCACGATGCGGGGCCGAAGGCGGTGCTGTTGATGAATTTAAAAGAAGTGGAATCCTGACTAATCAAAGCTTGTGGTCTCCGTCACTTTTGACAGATAGTTAACAAGTTGGGCATTGCTCCAACAACCTCTGCGAGCCCGTCGGAGAACCCTTGAATCGACGGGTAATTACGTCGCATGTATCCCGTTTCCACGCAGAGGGAGAAGTATGAACTAGGCTTTAGATTCTATACGTTGGTTGAGTGTGGTTGCCTTTTCTCCAATTCTCTCTGAATGTTGGCATGACAAGCCATACTATATACGTAAATATATTGCCTGGTGTCAACCACTAGATAGAGTTCGGTTGTGGAGCAGAATCTACATTTGTCTTAAAACGTTATGCTTTGTTTCCACATGCAATTGGACAGCACTAGGACCAATTGGAGCGAAAAATGTGACCTATTTATTTTTTCTGAGAATCAGTCAAAGGAGCAGTCTTGCCACACACCATCAGAGATGTAAAAGAAGCAAAAATACTTCAATTTAAGTACCTCTATCTGCTCATGTCTCAAAGAAAAAGTAAGTCTAAATCATCCAACGCTGATCCCAAAGCTGTTTCAAAGGAGCGCTGTTCCCGAGTCAGTGCCGTCCTTCTAGTTTTTCTTGGACCAATGGTAGATTTGGTGAGGCAACAGTGGAGTGTCCTGATTATTTACCCAACATCACAGGCAAGCTAACGGCTTTCTTTAGCTGAAATGCTCAGTGTGTATATGTGTTTATGCACGGCTGTTTGTGCAAGCACATCAAAGCTGTTGATGGTAACCTTTTGATGGCTACGTTTGTGTTGAGTCCTGTCCATGATGCTGCTCTGGCTCTAAAAATGCCCTTTATGGACTAAACTAGAGCGTTTATAACCTACGCCTTTTTTTTTCTATAGAATACATCAGGAATGGAATCCCAGAACCTAGTGGACGATCTTTCGCCAAAGAAGAATACAGTTCTGAAGGTGTGTTTTAATTGAAATGTCTTCTAACTTTACAGACGTTTCATGTACACGAATCACCTGTTAAACTGTGTTTTCTGCTGTTGTCTACAGCTTAGTAACGGTCCTGTTGTTGGCTCTCGCAAGCGTCCGTCAGAAGGGAACTATGAGAAGGAGAAGGAACACTGCATCACCCTGTTTGACCAGTGGTCAGAAGCTGACCAGGTGGAGTTTGTCGAACGCCTGATTTCCCGAATGTGCCACTACCAGCACGGCCACATCAACTCCTACCTCAAACCCATGCTGCAGAGGGATTTCATCACTGCATTGCCAGGTACAAATCTGCATTCTTGCTATGGAAATCCAGATTCTAGTGGGTTTACTTAAATATCTGACACACTAAAACAATAAGATAGGGATTAGGGCTGCTCGATTACGACAAAAATGATAATCACGATTGTTTTGACTGAAATTGAGATCTCAATTAAGACAAATTTTAAATTAATGCTGATTTATTTGTTTTTTCAGTCAGTCATAATATTGCACAGGACACAATCAGGAGAAAAAGAAACGAGATAATCACAAAAAACAACAACTGATTCCTAGTATAAAAAGGCCAATACACTTGCTCATAGTTTATAACCCAGAGGTTAAGGTATCACTTATTTAAGCAAACCCAACATGGACCCAAGCTTGCAAATACTGACAGCAGAAGTTAAACAGTTCATTTATAATATAAAATAAATAAAAACATATCATAACAAAATGTTGCATAATAATTAATTAGTCCTGCCCAGCGTTGCTGTAGGTGAGTGTACCAGCAACGTGTCACTCAGACAGATGCGTTATTATCAGTGTGAGGAACTTATTTCTAAACTATTTATTTACAGATCCCATCAGTTAATGTAATTATTGTCACAAGCAGCGATCGAAGATGTTCTGCAGCCCCTCCAACCCGCTCTCCCAGCAATGCAGAAGCAAGCTGTGTGTGTTTAGCACGCCGCGCATGCACATTTTATTTATCGGTTCGACAGTTTTACAGAAAGTAGATAAGGGTTACCAGAGAGGTTTCTAGGTTGTTCGCTAGGTACTTTTAAGATTTAAAAAGTCAAGAAGGGGGTCTGAAAAGCTGTCAGAATCGCTAAGTTGGCAACACTGTGGGAAGAGCGCTTGATTTACAAATCGGAGCAGCTCAAGAGGGAGGAGCAACTAATCTGCTTGTTTTGTTTTTATACAGTCGTTCAAAACTGATCGTAATTGGGATTAAAATTCTATTAATTTAGCATTTAATGAGGATGCACGTTTTCTAAAAAAGTTTAACCGGCTATTGACGCCCCTTAACTGTTAATAGCTGGTTAAACGGAACTCCCCCCCCCCCCACACACACACACACAAACCTTGGCCCCTGCTCTATAAGTACACTTTTTCCTTCTACATTCTTTTATATAATTCTGAGGCACGACTAAAGTCCCACACTTGTTACATTTATGAACAGGAAGTAAAGAGAGTGAGATGACGGCTGAAATGTCCGTCAGACTCAGAACTTGTAGCGCAGCGGACCGTCTGGCATCATCTGCACAGCGCTGCTTGTGATTGCGTGCTTATGAGCGCATTCTGGAAGCCAAGTTTTTAAAAAACACTTTAGTTTCTTTACATTGAACTAAATAATTACTGTGTTCCAAGAATGAAATAACTAAGAATAAACTGCTCCCACACTCTTTGTGTTTGGTCATGTGATAAGCTCCTTTCTTCTTCTGCGGTTGCCCAGTAAACATTTTGATAGCGGCGCTCTTGCACCCTCTAGTGGCACAACATATATTACACTCAAACGTAGCAAAGGTACTTGAAGCAGTTAACCAGGCAAAACTAGTTTAACCAGTTGCAACATTAACTGCAATTAACCGGTTAACTATATACATCCCTACTATAAGATGAAACAAAGTTTGTGTTGAATACTGAATTATAATACATTTCAACACTTTTATTTCTAACATAATTAATAATAAACCAAACATGTAGTTTGATGGGAGAAAAGGAAAGCAGAAAATCAAAGACGATGTAGAACCCGACTGTCTCTGTACCCTTACTCACGCTCACCTTCTTGTTTCCCTCTCTTTAGCCCAAGGTCTGGATCACATCGCAGAGAACATCCTGTCTTTTCTGGATGCACGCTCGCTGTGTGCGGCAGAGCTGGTGTGTAAAGAGTGGCAGAGGGTAATCTCTGAGGGGATGCTGTGGAAGAAGCTCATTGAACGTATGGTCCGGACCGACCCACTTTGGAAGGGCCTGTCTGAAAGACATCAGTGGTGAGAATCAAACCACACACTAATGTAAAAATCAAGTAAAAGATGGCTGGGGAACTGAAAATATTCCTGGTTTGTTTGCCCAAGGGAAAGGTTAATGGGATAATGTAACAAATGTTTTTGTCTTGAGTCTCTAGTCTAGGTAGAATAACTCCCAGAGGAGACACAGGACTTTCAATGCCCTTGTATTTATTCTGTTTTACCCCAGGGAGAAGTATCTGTTCAAAAACCGCACAGCAGAAGTCCCGCCCAACTCCTACTATCATTCTCTATATCCTAAAATCATCCAAGACATAGAGGTAAGACGTGGAAAACAAACACACATTTTGTCGTTGGATTTCAGAGTCTGAGAAAACAAAAACAGCAGAAAGAATCTCTGGCTTTAAATTAACAGAAATTAGGAGCAAATTGTTCATCAACACATCGAGTTTGTAGATCAGCATCAAAGTATTGGTAGAAACATTTTGGTTTCTGTTTTTATTTTTCCATGGTACATAGTGCCAAGATTATTTTAATTATTTGATAATAAAGTATGTAAAAGAGATGTTTACATCACTTCAGGCACTGGTTTGTTTCCACTGGAGTTATAGCTTGGTTTCTCAGGAGTGAGGCTGCCTCCTCCTCCTCCTGGCTGTTCGCTCTGAGCAGTGCATAAAAGGCAGCTGAAAGATGGGACTCGTGACCTTTGTTGACCTTTCTCAGCTCTCTTCAGCTGCTAGAAACTAGTGCAACCACTTTTAACTCATGGGTCGAACTGGGAGGATTTGATTATGGGTTTAGTCTAACAAGAAGCTCTGCTTTATTTTCACTCTGAAATTTGTTTTTTGCAACCAGATAAATGTGCTTAAATGCTTCTCCGCCTTTTTGCTTGTTGGCACCCAGAGGCTGGCGATCACTCACCAGCATTGGTTTTATTGTGTGAATTATTCTGTCTGACAGAATACATTTCATTGAAGAGTTATCGAAAATCAATGCTCTGCAGGCTTTTTATTTCCTGTAGGAAAATCTTTTAACATGCATTATGCATTACTTACTTTATGATGCATATCTGTGGTTGACTTGGAAGCATCTCGCTCTTTCAAGGCTCAAACATGTTTAATCCTGCAGCTAGTCCAAAATAATTAAAATATTCATGTTTGTTTTCCTTCCAACCATTTTCCTCTGACTGCTTTTAAAATAGTTGGTTTTTCTCTCTGTTCTGTTGATGTCAGCCGTCATTCTGCATTTACGTCCACAGACAATTGAAGCTAATTGGCGGTGTGGCAGACACAACTTGCAGAGGATCCAGTGTCGCTCAGAAAACAGTAAAGGTGTTTACTGTCTTCAATATGATGATGACAAGATCATCAGTGGCCTTAGGGACAACTCTATCAAGGTATGAGCTTCCTCTAGTTTTTGGCTGTGCAAGGATGTAAATTTATATTTCAGTTTGACCTCCAAACAGTCAGAACACCATGTAACTAACCAAAAACTCTGTTTCCCATTCTGCTTAGGAAGTATGCCTACATACGTAGTTTTTGTCTTGGTCCACCTTATTAACTCATTGACTGCCAACTGTTTCCTGATGAGAAAAGCATCTGGCTGTCAGCGTTTGAGTGTTTTTACAGTTTTTTTTTTTTGAAGAGTCACAGAACGTTGCACTCTATGATGATGTAAATGCCAAAACAAAGAATAGACTCGCCTCTAATAACAGGAGTAATTTACGTGTTTCTAGTGTTATCCGTTCTTTCATAATGCGTTGTCGAATTGTGATCGGCAGAAGCTTTTCCGTTTCGTGCCTTGGTTTTTTTTTTTACAGCAGCAGCCCAAAACGATCTAACACATGGATTTTCTTTTCCTGATCACGTGACGTTTGACGTATGATGAAGATCAGCTTTAGAGCTGGGATGTTTGTTCTCACGGTGCGGGGTCTCGTTCCGACTCCCACACAGTAAAAAAAAAAATGCAACTGACGATTCAATGGCAGTGAGCAGTACGATGGACCGCTGGTACCTGTGTACGGCAGCCTCGCCTTCGTCTGTGAGCCTCATGGCAGCTGTGGCTACATTGTAGCTCATCACTGTGTGTGTGTGTGTGTGTGTGTGTGTGTGTGTGTGTGTGTGTGTGTGTGTGTGTGTGTGTGTGTGTGTGTGTGTGTGTGTGTGTGTGTGTGTGTGTGTGTGTGTGTGTGTGTGTGTGTGTGTGTGTGTGTGTGTGTGTGTGTGTGTGAATGACTGCTGTGTTGTAAAGTGCTTTTATGATGAAGGTAAATTTATTCTCAGACTTTTGCTGTCTCACCACTAAACGGCACAACTCTGCCCCCTACTGACACGATTCGACTTTTGCCATCTCCATAAATGTGAACTCATGAATGTTCAAACCTCTAGAAAAAAAAAGACTCCCACTGGTATAGCGCCTTTCAAAGTCTGAGGGAAAAGCCTGGGTCAATAAACTTTTCCTTCTTTTGTAAGGCTGACATTAATGCAACGTAACTACATCCTAGGAAGTTTTACATTCTGAGATCTGATGCACCATGCACTGCAGCAGAATCACTTCTGTTGTTCTCTTTTCCCATTATGTCCATATATAGAACTATATGTTTTCCTCCTGCTTTAACATGTTGACGGTGTACAGCCACCAATCTTAACTTTTGCAGTTAGAGAAACGTTTCTGGGCTACCCGGTCGTGCTGTATGGAGCTGAGGCAGTTAAAGACGTTGTTGCCATGTTACAGTCTGCAACCACTGGCCAAAGCTGACTTGTTCAAGTCCTTACAATTGATCCCAACTGTGTGTTCAAGCACCAGCAGCAGGGGCCAAAAAGTATTCCCTGAGAGCGGGAGATGTTTGTGTGTTTCTGAGTGTGTTGTTCTCCCGGCACAGATAAGAGTGGTTTATTAACTCCTTGTGTGGTTCTGGACGGAAACGGCAGATGCTGAGACGGGGCAAAAGTAAATTACTGGATAAAAGGATCAGCTCCAGACTTGTATGTTCCACTTATCTGTCTGACCCGGGAGACGAGATGATGACGACGATGATGAGGAGGAGGAGGACCACTAAAGGGTGGATACCAGCAAAGGAGCACATTTCTTTTTATTTTTTGTAAAGGTGGAGGCTGGCACACCGCCAGGGAAGTGAAGCTCGTTGGCTTTTATTCACTCAGAGCTCAGCACAGCCATGAGGAAATGGGGCATGAATGTTTCTGTAAGAATGGGCCATTCTCAGCAAGACCCAAATCTGCGTCCTCTTCAGAACCACTTCTCCTTCCACTTATCTGTCATGTGCCTAAATCGCTCTCACACTAATTTACGCTGCTCTCTTCTGTTTGCCCTTTAGATTTGGGATAAGCAGACACTGGAATGTCTGAAGGTACTGACCGGTCACACAGGCTCAGTATTGTGTCTCCAATACGACGAGAGGGTCATTGTCACTGGGTCTTCTGACTCCACTGTCAGGTATGACGTCCGTCCTTCCACAGCAGGAATTTATTGTGTTCTGAAAGCAAGAATGATGAAATAAACTAATATTATAGCTTTGGTTTGATGAGTGATTGTAAATAAATAGAATTAACCTCAATATCCCCTCAGTATGAACCATTTAATCCACTCTAGCGTCAACATCATGTCTTCACTTTCCTGAGCTACTACAGTAAAACAGGAGGCAGAAATGGCCGCCCACCACATCTTTGACTCAACTCTAAAATACCCTAATATTATATTTGGTGATGGACAGAGGGAAGAAAATCTCCATTCTGGTTGGTCTTAGGTACTTATGTAAACAAGTACCATGTAGCAAGTCAGTTTAAAAAATGCAAAGGGGTGTAAAGAGCTTGACCCCTAAAAGACCTACCCAGATACCAATAATAATAGAGTTCTGATGGTATTTGTTGGAACCAAAGCTCATACACACGACCCCACCCAACATCCCACATGATCCAGAGAATCGATTCAAAATGTTCTGACACCAGAAACCTCAGATGTTCTTTCTTTGTGCTCCCATTGTTCACAATTGTTTTTAGGACCTGGCTCACTCCTTCTTTATTCAGGGTTTCTCTCCTGGTTTATGTGAAATTAGGTTTCAACTAAGAATCTTTTGAAACTTGAATAAACTCAATGAAAATGCACTTACCATATGTTTTGATCTGTTCAGTTGTTTAAAGAGCAGGTTCTCTGAGAAACCATGTTTTACTAGTTATTTTTTAAACCGTTTTGTTTCACATGCCAGTGGAATTTTTCCAACTGGGGTGGGGGGTGAAATTATGACACGTCTTACCTTTATGTTAATATTGTTTTATTTGAGGCACTCTACATTGAACTGCACCAATCTGGCAACTGCTGCATTACTGACCAATATCTTTGATTTAATTTATTTGTTAAGAACATCAAGATGCATTACAGTGAACATTATAATAAAGTACATTTTTCTAGTGCAGAGAGGAGACAACCCATAGAAGCACTGATTTGATCTCATTTCAGAGAAAAATAGAACAGGTCAGATGCACCTAATAAATAAAATTACTAACATAAACTCAGGAATCTGTTTCTTTGCTTCATTGTTCTGGTGCTGAACATATAACTAATGCGGATCAAAGGAGAACCACAGATGAATGCACCTCTTATTTATTATTTAGAAATTAGTGGGTGTGATTTACATCAATACATTATTTTAAATCTGAAATTGATTTGTATTGATCAGAAGTTGCTATGTGTATTGTTTATTTGAAAACTATTTACAAAGCAGCCTCAGAATTTAGATTAAATATTTTTGACCACAATAGTAAAGGAACTATTACAGAACAAGCTTTTCAGTAACATCAGAACATTATTATTTAAGTGCATGAATTAAGGCATCTGAACTCATGCAGTAGGAACTAGGAAATATGAAATACTAGAACCAGATACAACTTTAAAATTTTTTTATTTTAATTTGATTAAACTGATTTTTTCCTAACGACGTTGGCATTTTTCCCACATACAGTTAAACAAAACAATGTTGATTAAGGTGTGTGTGAGAGAGAGAGAGTTAAAATAATAAAAAAAAAATAAAAAACGACCGGAGCGGAGGCAGTGACTGACACATGCACGAGTCGTTTTCAGCTCTGTCTTGTCAAATGCACCACGTACGTTACGAAAAATGTAACTTTAAATATTAAACCAAAAAAGAGGCGAGCTGAAGAAAACCTAGGGAGACTTAAGAAACGTGAGCAACAGTGAAGCAAACACAGAGAGATCCATTACTGTCTGTGTGTGCGTGGATGGATCAGACCGGGGTCGGACGGACTGAGCTCCCGGCTGCAGAGTTTTGTGTGTAGGGAGGGGCGGGCGCTCTGTGATTGGCCAATCACAGAGCATGAAGACAGTCAGTTACCCAATGAGGATTTTCCTTCAGCATGATTGCAGATATTTACGAGTTTTACTCGTTTCATGCTCGTATTCGTCAAAAATGCTTTATCCGCTCATCCCTAGCTGTAACCACCCTACCGCCGCCTCCTTGCTGCCTGCCGGCTGTGATCACAAGCAACAACAGAGTAGTTCCCGTTGCTTCTTCGGGAACAGTGCAAAAAAAATAAAATAAATAAAACTTGGGATCTTGTAGGCGTGGCGCTGGGATTTCAGCTGTGGCGGGCCGCCATGGCTACGCCTATGTAAGGGAGAGACTGCATGCAAACTGAATGAAAATACCAGTTTCCTGCATTAAACGCCATTGGGGAAAAAAATGAGAAAAACGCTCTGATCGTAAAAGCCCGTCAGATTTACTACACAATGAAAATCTGCATTCATGGACTCGCAACAAAGAAGGCTGTTGTTGGCTTAGCGTACAGGTAACAGCTAACCATTAGCATTAGCATCTCCACCAGACAGCAGAATTCCTCCAGGCGTGTGTTAGTAGTAGAGACAAAACTTTAGCATTGCAAAGTGTTTGTAAAGTAAGAATTAAAGCTTTTAAACTTATTAGTAACTGTGTTATTTTTTTGTCTATTTCCATCTTTTTAGTGTTTCCTGCCGATTAAAATACTGCTGCTGTTAAATCAGCGCGATAATTCCTGCACAGTTGGTGTCCTGTTAAATCTGTCTGGTTTATTAGGATTTGAATATCAAACAGCTCATTACTTTCTCTGTAGCTGCCAGTTGTGACTTGTTGGTTTGTGCCCATTTATAGCCCATTCCCTACCAAACTTCACAGTGCAGGTATTGCATGAAACAAACAGATCATTAAAGCTGATTCATCCATAAATAAGCAGGTGTACTGCTGGTACTGAATACACGTGTGTGTTTTACGGGGCATCTTTAAAATCCTACCCAGGGTTTATATGCTGACATTTCCTTGGCCGCCACACACAGAAGCTTCAAATGAATTCCTTATTACTTCACACTTCAGCCATACTGGATTGTATCCAAGGAAAATATGACTTCACTTCCTTAGCAACGCTTTGATGTGCACTTTGTATACGTCGTTGTCAGCTTTTCCAGTGTGTTTTGCATTAACCTCTCTCTCTCTCTCTCTCTCTCTCTCTCTCTCTCTCTCTGTCTCTGTCTCTCTCTCTCTCTCTCTGTCTCTCTGTCTCTGTGTGTGTGTGTGTGTCCAACTTTTTTGCAAACACACAGCCTTGCATTTCTTCAATTTTCTCACGTACTTTTTTTTTTTTTTGGTACTTTTTATTTTGATTTTGACATTGTACAACTTGGTTTAACAACCCTGGCGTTGAGCAGGACAATCACAAAAGCAAAAAGAAACAAATAAGTAAATTAATTATTTTTAAACAAATAAATAAATAAAGGAGAAAAAATAAAATTCTATAAAGAATAGAAATACAATCATTTAGTTTCATCGTTAAGATTAAGTTTTCCACGTTGACATCAGAGTAGACAACAGGCAAAACAACAACCCAATACGTCACATTGCTAAGTATTGCTCGACACACTCCCATCTATCCCGGAACCGATCCACCTTCATTTGCAGTATAGATGTCATCTTTTCCATTATGTATATTTGTTTAATTCTCTCTTTCCATTCCTTTATAGTTGGGGAGTTCACCTCCTTCCATTTTACTGTTATAATTTTCTTTGCAGCCAATAATAGAATATGGGCGATATAACTTTGGTCTAAGTTTAATATTTTGTTTGATGTAGCCCCCAACAGATAGAACAAAGGATGTGAAGGTAGCTCCTTTCCCAGGATTTTTTCCAACTCTTCCTTTATGTCTTTCCAATATTTGAGAATAACTGGGCAGTTCCAGAATATATGAGAGTGGTCCCCCACCTCCCCACAGTTCCTCCAGCAAAGTGGGGACAGGTCTTCTTTTGCAAACCCTGATACAACTAAGGGGGTAAAAAAGTACCTAGTTTTTATCTGCCAATCAAATTCCTTCCACATTTGGCTGTTGATCCCCCTATGAGTTTGTCTACATACATCTTCCCACTGTTCATCTTCAATTAGTATATTTAATTCTAGTTCCCATTTCTCCTTTATATATTTCGTATTATGTGTAGAGCTAAGTAAGAAGCTTCTATATAGATTAGTAACATAGCCTTTTACTTGGGATTTTTTTCCTATGCGTGAAATAAAATATTGTTCTATTGCATTTGGCTGTTTATAAAGTCTTTCTTTCTCTCTATGATTCATGATATAATGCCTTATCTGAAAATATTTATACATGTCGTTCATGGGGAGGTCGAATTGTTCCCTAATTTGCGAGAATGTTTTAAGCTCTGTTTCTCCAAACAACTGGTCCAGAATTATAAGACCCTTATTCGCCCATTTTTTAAACCCCGAGTCTAATTTGGATGGGGGGAACCCGATGCTATCCAGTATTGGCATGGCCCGGGAAATAGAACCCTTGTCATTCAGCATTTTCTTTACTTCCCTCCAGACCCTCAAAGTATGTTTTATGATTATGCTGTCCACTTTTAATTTCTGGATATCTTTTGGGTTAAGGAATGGTAAAACTGTCAGTTCCGTACCTTTAATTTCGCCTTGTTCTATCTGGTTCCATATTAGGTCCCTATCTCCCTCCAGCCAGTGAACTATCGCTGTTAATTGGGCTGCCCAGTAATAATATTTCAAGTTAGGCACTGCTAGTCCCCCTTTCTCTTTTGGCAGCTGAAGTGTCTTAAGCCTTACCCTTGGTTTTTTATGTTGCCATATAAATTGAGAGATCATTTTGTTCAGAGTCTTAAATATTGGAGCGGGGATTCTTATAGGAAGGGATTGGAACAAAAAGAGAAAGCGTGGTAGAACATTCATCTTAATTGTCTCAATCCTGCCAAATAGAGATAGAGGGAGAATCGTCCATCGGGTCAGGTCCGCCTTGACCTGTTTGATTAGTCTGGTGTAATTTGCTTCAAACAGAGCTGTAGGTTGGGGTGTCAGCACTATCCCTAGGTATCTAAGCCCTTTATTAGTCCTATGAAAGCATACCGTTTTATTTAGTTCTTTTGGCCAGTCCCCCATAACCATCATTACTTCTGATTTATTTTGATTAATTTTATATCCTGAGATTTCTGCATAAGTATCTAGATTGTTAAGCAATGCTGGTACTGATGTTTTTGGATTTTTTATAAAAAGTAAGATATCATCTGCAAACAAAGCAATTTTGTGGACTGTCCCTTCTCCATCTCTTATTCCCTGAATCAGCTTGTTCTGGCGGATTATCTCTGCCAGTGGTTCAATACTCAAGGCAAAAAGTACAGGTGATAACGAATCTCCCTGCCTCACCCCTCTTTCTACCTTAAAAAATTTTGAACAATATCCATTTATTCTTACTGTTGATTTTGGGTTTTTATATAAAACATTGAACCAATCTACAAACTTTTTCCCAAAGCCCATTTCCAAAAGAGTATATTTTAGAAAGGTCCAGTCTACTCGGTCGAAGGCTTTCTCTGCATCTAAGCTCAGGAGCATGGATGTCTGCTTATCTTTCTTCATTATTGACTGTAGGTTTAAAGCTCTCCTCACATTATTTGTGCCTTGACGTCCTAGAATAAAACCTGTCTGATCTGGTTTAATTAATTTCTTTATATGTATCTGTATTCTAGATGCTAGTATTGATGTCAGTATTTTATAGTCTACACAGAGCAGGCTTATAGGGCGATAGCTGGGGCATTGGAGAGGGTCTTTCCCTTCCTTGTGCAGAACTGTAATAATCGCTTCTTTCCATGAATCGGGAGGATTCCCTGAGTCTAATACATAATTATATAGTTTACATAATATAGGGGTAAGCTCGGTAATAAAGGTTTTATAGTATTCCCCTGCAAAGCCATCCGTGCCTGGCGAGCTATTATTTTTAAGTTTATTAATACCATTTCTAACTTCAGTCTCCTTTATTGGTTCTGTTAAACTGACACTTTCTTCTTCTGACAATCTATCCAACTTAAGAGTTTTATAGAAATCTTTTATCCCGTCTAATTTAAAGGCCGAAGCTTGGCCTGTATATAATTTATGATAATATTCTGCAAAGGCCTCTGAAATCCCTTTTGGGGTCATTTCTACCTTATTCATATTTATTGAATTAATTTTAGGTATTATACGGCTGGCTTGGGTTTTTCTCAGCTGAAAAGATAGAAGTTTACTTGCTTTATTCCCCATTTCATAATATTTTCTTTTTATAAATCTTAGGGCTCCTTCTGCCTTATACGTTAGTAGACCGTCAAGCTGAGCTCTTATATCTTTCAAGTTATCCAGTGTTTCCTGTTGTCCATTTTGTTTATGCTCCTTTTCCAACTTTTTTATTTCTGTCTCTAATTCTATCCGTTTTCTCTCCCTTTCTCTCTTGATTCCAGAACCTATAGAGATGAGTTTACCTCTTATTGTAGCCTTTCCTGCATCCCATAGCACTGTTGGTGAAACCTCCCCATTATCATTTATGTCAAAATATTCTATTAGGGCTGATCTCACTTCCTCTCTTACATGCTTATCTGTTAGTAGGGATACATTAATTCTCCAGTATCTACTCTGAGTTTCTGATCCTATGTCCAGCCTCATAGTAACTGGACTATGATCGGAGATTGTAATTGGTTCAATTTTGCATTCTTTAATTCTAAATGTGTCTTTCTTAACTGTAAAGAAGTAATCTAATCTTGAGTAGCTTCCATGTACCTGTGAGTTGAAAGTAAAATCTTTTTCATTTGGGTGAAGATGGCGCCAGCAATCTATTAGCCCCAGCTCTTCAATCATGCTTGTTAGACTTTTAGATTTTCTGTTTTGTGGTTTCGAAGAGGTAGGTAATTTGTCTAACTTATAATTGACTACGCAATTAAGGTCACCCCCAATAAGAATCAAACCTTTCCCTCTCTCCGCAATTAATTCAGCCATTTTTTCGAAAAATTTTGGGCAATCTTCATTTGGTGCATAAATATTTAGTACCGTTAACTTAACCCCTGCAACTGATCCAACCACCATAACATATCTACCTTTTTTGTCCTCGATTACCTCTTCATTAGAATAATAAGCATTTTTATTAAATAATATAGCTACTCCTCTTTTTTTTCCGTTGCCATATGAGGCACTGTATACTTGATCTACCCACTTTCTTTTTAATTTTTGGTGGTCTGTCTCTGATAAATGCGTTTCCTGTAGCAGAGCTATAGAGCATTGCATTTTTTTTAACTGGCCCAGGATCTTCTGCCTTTTAATTGGATTGTTGATCCCCTTTATATTATATGTAACTACTTTTAAGTAGTTCATTGCTATTTTGTTTAAGAAATTTATTACCTTTTGATTGCATGCAAACACAAATAACAACAAATAAACAAAAATCTAACTTCACATACACATACATATTATAATAAAGTTTAAACCTACTTGTCAGTACAACATCTTCCTTATAAATCTGAGCTTCCAAATTACTAGCCTGTCGCAGTGTTGTATCTAGAACTGCGTCTGGCTCCCGTTGGTAAGGGACCAGGGAGTGGTGACTTGATCTCCCTGTAGAAAACTGCACATAGTGTGCAATGCCGACCAATAATACATATTTATGTAAAAAAAAAGGTCGTGGTTGCGCATTCTTCATGCGAAAAAAAAACCCCAAAAGAAAACCCAATAGGGGATCACGGTTCTTCCCGTCAGACTTTTAACCTAAGAATATATAACAATGTCCTTGACAAATTTCCTATTAATTCCACTTGAATAATCAGCGTTTATATTTTTTACTTTATATAATTTAATTTTTACACTATAATTTTTTTGACCGATAATCTCGACTAAAGCTTCATCTAATCATGCTATTTCAATACCTCTTTCTGTGTTTTTGTCCTCCTGTGTGATGAATTCCAGGTCAAGAGACTTTATCTTCCCCTCTTTTTTTTTTTACTTCTAGTTGTCCAGTCCGTTGTCGGTTCCTTCTCTGTGTGCTCTTCCTCCCCTTCGTATATCTGGACACCCAAGCTGCTCAGCATTTCGGCCGCACTCGTCAGTGTAGTATATATCTTCTCTCCAGAGTCCAACTTCAGTTTAAGCCGTGCCGGGTACAGGCATTTTGCCCCGATACCTTTCTGGCGTAGTTGTTTAATTACTGCGCGTACCCTCGCTCGCTTTTTCTGCAGCTCTGGCGAGTAGTCTTGGTCGAAAAAAATCCTCTTGCCCTGGAAAAGTACTTGTCTTTGGCTCCATGCCTGCTTCAAAATGAGATCCTTCACAGCTGCATCCAGGAATCTCACCACAATAGATCGGGGTGTTGCCAGATGGTCTCTTGGTCGTACTTGAAGCGCACGGTGCGCTCTTTCTATCCTAATGTCCAAGTCTGAGGGGAGTGTCAGAACTTTATTTAATAAATCTTTTGTAAAGTCTATCAGGTTTCCCCCCTCACTTTCTTCTGGAACTTGGAAAATCCTCATGTTGTTCCTCCTCAGTCTATTTTGGAGATCTTCACAGGTATTTGTCAGCTCCGTCTCCCGACGGAGAAGGTGGTTAAGCTCCCTTTCATGCCGCGTCTCCCTTTCTTCCAATGACGCCACCCTCTCCTCCAAACCCGTTAATCTCTCCTCTTGTTCTCCTATTTGGCTCCTTATATCCGCCACCGCCTGTTCCAATCGATCCAAGGAGGATTTTGTGAGGCTGTGTCCTTCTTTGTTTTCATCCCGCATTTGTTTGATCTCCTCCAAAAGTTTGTTCTCACTCATTATCGTGCAGCTGGTGGGTTGGGTGCTGGCTTCTGAAGGGTTGCCCAACTTTTGCTGTTTATCCTCCATATCCTTCGTATTTGCTTGCTTGTTGAGCACTTTTTGTCTTGTGGAGGAACTCATATCATCAAAATGAATATTCGCTGGTCTTAAAGTCTTTAGATTATATATTATATCAAGGAGTTTCTCAGTTCTTCTGACGGAGCTCCGTGTTCACGCTGCTGCTCCTATCATGACGTCACCGGAAGTCCCTCACGTACTTTTTTGTTTTTGCTTCTGTTGCTTGTCTTCCTATTTGTCCTTTCCTACTAAAGTCCTCTTCTCATTGTTTACTTATTTCCCGTCGGTCATGTCTGTTCTAGTTTTACTCCATTTATTTATTTATTTCCTCTCTATAAAACATTTGTCACCACAGGAACATCTGTCCCAGCTTGTGTTTATTTGTCCCTAAACCGCATCGTCCTTTGTCTTCAGGGTGTGGGAGGTGACGACGGGTGAGGTACTGAACACGCTGATCCACCATAATGAGGCGGTTCTTCACCTGCGGTTCGCCAATGGGCTGATGGTCACCTGCTCCAAAGACCGTTCTATAGCCGTGTGGGACATGGCTTCGCCTACTGACATCAGCCTGCGTCGGGTCCTTGTAGGACATCGTGCTGCTGTCAACGTTGTTGACTTTGATGACAAATATATTGTGTCCGCCTCAGGGGACCGCACCATCAAGGTGGGCTAAATGATTTAAAATTGTTAAGTTACGCAACATTTGTCTTACAAAGCCGTGTGTTTCCTCTTCTGCAGGTATGGAGCACCAGTACGTGTGAGTTTGTGCGCACTCTAAATGGTCATAAGCGGGGAATCGCCTGTTTACAGTATAGAGACCGTTTAGTAGTCAGTGGCTCGTCTGATAACACAATACGGTAAGTTTTCGTTAGTTTTGTTGTTGTTGTTTGTGAACATGGGCGGCTAAAATCACTTTTAAGCAAAAGCTGTTTTTTTTTTTCATTCAAACCTAAACTGCAGTAAATCGAAATCTGATTAACAAACGTACCTCCATTGTTATTTTTGCATGATTGGTCTCATTGTCTCATGCGCTTTGAGTTTAATGAGTCAAACTCACGATACAAGTGCAAGAACACGTTCAGCAACTATCAAGGTTAATTGCTTTTTAAGTTTTGTGATGATGCAGCTAGAGAAACTATCTCGCATCACTACAAGTGCACCTGTAAAAATATTTATTTCTATATGAACGGTATAAATATTAATGTCGTTTGGACAGGTGTACTACTGGCTCGGACACTAATGCTCGTCTCCCTGCAGGTTATGGGACATTGAGTGCGGAGCATGTTTGCGAGTGCTGGAAGGTCACGAGGAGTTGGTGCGCTGCATTCGTTTCGACAACAAAAGGATTGTCAGCGGTGCCTACGACGGGTTCGTATTGTCTCGTCACAAAGTTCTGAGCAGAGGCCCGATTTGTTTTCTGACTTTGTTTTGGTTCCATGTTTGTATTTGCAGTAAGATAAAGGTGTGGGACCTGCAAGCTGCACTTGACCCAAGGGCCCCCGCCAGCACATTATGTCTCCGCACTCTAGTGGTGAGTGGCACCAGTTGTTCCTCTCACTGACTAGAACTAGCGATGCGTTCGGCAGCACTCCAGAAAGTCTGTCTAAACCTCATATTTTCACTGATTAAAGCTGATGTGTGTTGTAGAGGATAGAAAAGGCCCATAAGATACTTCTCCATGCCCATCACTCACTCACTCGCTCATTCATTCACTCACTCATGTATAAATGCAGGATAGTGTAATAAATGGTTTTTCCCACATCTGGTGTTTCCAGGAACACTCTGGCCGTGTTTTCCGCCTGCAGTTTGACGAGTTTCAGATTATCAGCAGTTCTCACGATGACACCATTCTGATCTGGGACTTCCTGAACGTCTCACCTAATGGCCAGTCAGAGGGACGGTCTCCATCTCGCACCTACACCTACATTTCTAGATAGCAGGTGTGCTTCAGTTTGAATCTGCATGTTCAGAGGAACCACACAGTGAACTCTGCAGAGCAGGCCTTTTGAATGACTTTGTTTTCCCCTCTAGGTGGCGCCATTAAGCTCACTCATAGGACATCCAGGGCTGACTGGCTGATGGGTGCATCTGTGGTGCAACAGAGCCCATCTTTTCTTCCCTTCCTCCTCGTCATCACTCTGTCCATCTTAGCCCCCCTCCTCCAACTGGTCCGGCCCCGCCCATTCCGACAGACTTGACGCTTGTGCCCAACGCCTGACCAAACAGTGAGATGCACACAGGTCAACACCGATGAGGATTCCTACTACAGAACCAATGCAAATCCCTCCCAGAAGTTCAGCTCCAACCACTAATTTATGTTTTGTAAAGTACACTAATGACAGTATTAACGTAGGCCTGGTATAAGTCACAAGCTCCCCTTTTCTCCCCTGATTCAAACTACAAGCAGCTTCAGCTCCTCACTTTTCAACCCCTCCCCCCATGGCCAAAACAGGTTTCCACAGGTATGGAATTGCTTATAGATATATATTTATATATACATTACACCCGACTCACGGTGGCACAGTTGGGCAGAGGATGACCGGAGCTGTGATGTGGGAGACAGAGACTCTTTACACAGCTACAGGAAAGAAGGGAAGGACGGTAGATGGAGGGAGATGTTGGCGTCCATGCTCCCTCTCACTCTTCCTCGCTCCTCTCCACCCCCCCACCCCCCATCCCCGCTCCCCCCATTTTCCCGGTCACAGCCCCTCCAGGGGTGCACACTTGCTAGGATCATGGGGGTACACACACTCGAGGACGTGTGTGTTTGTTTATGTGGACTTGTGAAATGGCAGAACGGAGCAGAAGCGTCAGACATGCATGAGAGGTTGCCATGGATACGGCGTCATGGCACACCTCTGCTTTTTTCCTCATAACTTTTTCTTACTGTTTTTCTTACTGTTATTTTCTAATTTTATTTGAGTATTTTGTTTCTTAGTTCAAGGAAAAAAGTTGAAATCATACTAAACATAGTCCTCCGGCCACACTCTTCTTCCTCCTCTCATTTCCCCCTCGTTCTTTCTTCTTTACTTCCTCCTGTGTTCATCTGTCCCTTTCACGCCATTGTTCTCTCCCACCATCTAAGTGCTTGCTTTGGTCATGAGAGAAGCTGGAATTCAAGAGCTCGATTTTAGTTGTAAACGGAGTTGTCTTGTCAAAAATTGTGTTGTATATTAAAATGATTTTTTAAAGAAGAAAATGAAAACTTATTGTGAATAAAGTACTTGACATTGGTGGACTGTTGAGCCAACTCTTAACAGGAACGAGTGTTTGATTTACCCGCTCGTGTGCGAGCGGGCGTTGAGGCTTTTAGTCTCTCTTAATCACCCCTAGATGGAAAACACGGTTTCCTCTCAAACAGCGGTGAGCTAACTGGGTATTGTCTGTAGAACTGATGATAATATAAACATTTATTTTAAAGAGAAGAACAAAAAAATGGTTTAATCTTCTGATGAAGGAGAAGTTGGAAAGCAGAGTCAAAAAGTTTGACTAACGTTAAAGTAGCAAAGCAGGAGTCAGACTCCAGTCCTTGGAATGCTAACTCCTGCATCCTTTCTCTAACACACCTGTCCAAGGTGGGGGGGAGGTGATTAGTTCTTTGGTTCAGGTGTGCTGTAGCCCTCTAGGACTGGTCTTGGTGATCGCTGATCAAGAGTACAAAAGTACGACGCACCAAACACATTTGTTGATGCGTGAATAACTTAAAAAGATGCTTCACTGACTGCAATATGGGATTTCTAAATGTTTGTCATTTTATCAAACATGCGTCTGATGATTCATCACGTTTTATATTTTACCCATTACCAAGACTTTGTCAGAACTTCGTGAATGACTTGCTTGTGTTGTGAAAATGACCACCAGGTGGCAGTGTAAGCTCACAGTTAGCCTAAAACTAGATCTATGGAAGGCTTGTCAGGTTGCCACATTTGGAGTCTCAACCTGTTGCAGAAGGTCTCATAATCAGTCTTGTCAACACTCATTTTGTAAATTTAAAAGAATTTAAGTTTTACGTTTTAGTGTAAAACTATGAAAATATTTTTCCACCCAATGAGGGAGTCTTTTTTTTTTAGGTTTCAAGGTTCTGTACAGTAGAATGTTTCAGATTCTGGGAGTAAGTAATATGGGATAGATTTGTGCTTGGTGGAGCAGCATTAATATATGATGTGTGTGTGTTGGATATGGGTGTGTGTGCTTCCTCTGGGTCTGTGGGATTTTGGCCCATAATTCCTGCAGCTCTCAGGTCACAGCTCCGTTCTCACGCACATATTTGGCATTCCTTCCCCCGACATGATTACCATACACCTTCCACTCTGGGTTTTGGCTACACAGAATATTTCCATCATTCCCAAGTGGAACTGAAGCAACGTTCCAGAAGTGAACAGCTTACACCAGCACCACCCCCCTTTTTATATTCTCTCTTCTTTAACCTCACAGACGGTTTCTCCTCTACCTCTTGAGTCTCCTCCTCAAACCAGCACCCCTTCAGCTCAGGGCAACCTCCTTCCTCCTGAATCAGCTGTTTGTGGCTGTTGATGAGACCGGGTGTGATCCCTCTGATAAGGATGCAGGAGGAATGGGCAGCGTGGACAACAAAACCACGAGATAAGAACATGAAACTGCCTCACCACATCAAACTGAAAACTAGTTTGTTATTGCTGGGATTGCAGCTTTCTTCATAATGTAATCTGGATTAAAACATTTTTAAAATGGTTGCAGATCAAGACTGGAAAATATTAACTTTGTAATTATTTGATTTGAAATTTGAATTCTTTTGTTCTCCTCAAGGTTTGGTATTTGGACTCCTTAACTTCTTGCTCAACATAAATTCACTTCTTCAAGTGTTTGAAGAAAGTAAACATCAATTTCTCTTTGGCTTTTGCTTTCAAATAATCCATTTTGTTTATTTTGACAGAGGAGATACCTACTAGTTTAATTAATGTATTTAATTGCTGACTATTAAACAATTACTATCTTAAAGCAAAATGTTTTGTTCGGACTCGGCATCAACCATTTTCTGGGGATTCTAAATTCAAACATAAAAGAAATTTTAATATAAAAGCAGAACTATGTTAATAGAAATCTGGTGAATCTTGACAAGAAAAATCATCCCAACCCAGGGTTTTAATTAAAAAGTCTTACTCGTTAAATTCCCACAATTATGTGGGAATGTTTTTTTTTTTTTGGTGCATGAACATAATCTGATGACTAATTTTCTGTGTATTGCTTTGAAATTGTATTTACTTTGCCTACCTGGTGTTTGTTTAGAGTTTCAAAGGTTATCCTTGGAGAGAGCTTATTTGTTTTCCATCCGTCTGGGAGTACCAAATTCCCGATTTCCAACGATATAAACAAACAAGCAACCAGAACCCCATGTTATAGCTGGAACCTGCCAATGTTTGGCCTTTTGATGAGAAAAAAAAAAGATTGTAAGTCCCTATTTTGCTGTGTAATTTTTCAACTTCTCCAAGCGACCAGTGGAAATCCCAGTGGAAATCTTAGAAGAGCGGGTATTGAAACTGCTGAGGAAGAAAAGTCTGGGAGGCATTTGAAAAGTTTCTGTAAGGTTTACTGAGTCAAGAAAGACTGCTGCACACAGAGCTGAAATAAATAAATGAAATAATTTTATCATAATTATAGTAACCATCATAGTAAGATTGCTTATTTAAGTTTCTGTCTTCATATATTTATATATATAATATATATAACTTTCAATAAATTGCTCCCTTTAATTTTTCCTCCTGTGTGTATGGATGAGACTTTGGATCATTCCACTGTAAGTCCTGGTAGCAGCACTCCGTATCCATGTTATAGCACAGAAGCATCATCATCCCCCCTGGGTCGTTTCTATGGCGATGCAGTTAGAGAAGGCAACCTCCCCTCTGGGCTCAGCCCTGCATGCACTGTCCTCAGGGGAGAAAGGGAATGAGGAGGAATCAGAAAGGTCTTCGGTTGTCTTTGGTCACCGTTGGTTTGGTTTGCGCTGATTGGCTGGCTGGTTTTGGTGCAGCTTGTTTCATTTTGTACATTCCAGTTCTTTAAAGCTTCGGTCCCTGTGGTGAGTTGTCATGATTTTACGCTTGGACTGCGCGAACCGTTTCCAGAGCCCCTGGTGATTTTGCTTCACACACTCAAACACACACACATACTTTTTTTTTGTCCTCCGCCTTGGAACATGTATTTATTCTTTGACATTCACTCTAATGTTCCCTCATTCATCCTTTCATCGTCGTCCTTCATCCAAAGGTCTCACGTGTTCCCACCTTTTAAGCAGTGAGACAATTAAGTGCGTCAAACATCAAGAGTCCATTGTTGGAGTCTGGTGGATCTGAGCAGACCACCTTCTGCATCTGCCCAGCTTTCCCTTCATCCTCGAGCTGAGCACCCACTCTCTTGTTCCTGGTCTTCCATCCATGTTCTCTCTGTGTAGTCCAGCTGAGATCCTGTGATTGACACTGTCCCACTGTCTCAAAACAGAAGATATGAAGGCCTTGTGTTTTCCGGACCAGTGGAATCAATACCTTTGCTGCACCTGGCCTTTGAGCCATTTCTGGCCTCGTTAAGGGAATCGGAGCAGGTCCAAACGGCTCCCAGCATGCGTCCAGTTATAGTCCAGTTGGTCCAGTAAAAGAACAAAGGAATGATCACTAACTTGGGGCTTGTAGTGGCAAATTAGAGCACATAGAGTTAAACCCCATGAATCATTCATCACTTTACTGGTCAATATGTGTCCCATCAAAGGGAGAAGTTCAGCCGTGTGCGACAGAAGAGAAGACTGGGTTAGCCATTGGCAGGCTCAGGTTGTGGGCTTTGGTTTGAACAAGACAGTGGGTGCTAGCGATAGCCACAGCTAGCGGGTCCCAGTAGCACGCACCCTCTTGACCCGCTTGCTGACGGTGGTGAAGCGGAAGGGCGTGGTGAGGTCCGGCTGTTCCCCAGGTGGGAACCGCTTCATGAAGTGCACATCCTGCTGGTTGGGCAGCGTGTGGGGGCCGCGGCGAGGACGCCCTCGTTTTGTGAAGCCGACATACCAGCCAGCGTAGCGTGCTGACATCAGAGCTGTGTAGTGGTTTTCCAAGACCATTTCCACAAAGACGCAGTCAGCGCTTCGGTTACTGGCCTTCTGAGAGAGCAGAGAAACCACAGGTCAGGAAACCGTCAGATACAATGTATGTGTGGGAGAAGAGGTCTTACCTTTCCCACCAGCTTGCCCCGGCGGTTCATGCACAGGTAGAAGTTGGTCTCTTTGCCTCGGATTCTCACCTGGCTACCGAAGGTATCTGCCTCCACTACGAGCTGGGCTTGTGAAGGGACAAACAGAGGAACAGAGAGACATCAGAGCCACACGTTTGGGTGGGAAACGCAACAAGAAACCGAATGCAGACTCTGCAAGCTTCCCTTCTCATTCCACACATTTATCAGTCTGACCAAGCTCCAGGTTGCTTGCATCTCTTACAATAGCAAAGAGCAAGCTCTTGCTGACCGAGCGAGCCAAGCAGTGTCACGCTAAAAACTCAGATTACCAGCCAGGATTAAATTTAAACCAGCTCTGTTAAACTAGATAAGCCACACACAGAGACACAGCTTCAAGATTCCTAGCTGCTCTTTAACTGCGCTAATAAATCACAGGCAGATGGAAATGTCCACGGTTACACAGACGGCTGTCGGATAAGGCTGATCACAAACATGGATGTGAGGTCTTCTGACCAGCCTGTAAAATAAAATAAAGAAATAAAAGGTGGCTTGGCAGGCTGAAGGGAGTAGCTTCGCGATCATGCTGTTTTAAGGTGTGTGTGTGTGTGCGTGCATGCATGCGTGTGTGTGTTTTGAGTGCTCATCCTTCCAGGTAGAAGGCTTCCGCTTCACTAACTGCACACATTTAGAGAGCAGTTGTGCCTGTTTAAAAATAAATCCCTAAAATGGTTTCTACATGACCTTAGTCAACAAAGGGGTCAGAAAAAATCAATACCTCCCTCCCTCCTGCCCTCCTCATCTCTCTTCCCCCAACTCTTTTCTCATCTCCTGCACTTGCTTTCGGTTCTTTTTTGTCTTTCCTCATGAGAAATAGTTAAAATAACCATTTTAATAAGTCATTTTTGAGGCGAATTTGTCTTGTTTTTTAAATAAGGGATTAAAATCGGATCAGCCTCGTAGATGTGGTCTGGCGTTTGTCATGAAGTGACACATCAGTGACCAGAGAGGCTTGTAAATGGAAAAGATTTGCCACATTCAGAAAATTTTCAGCTTTACTTTTTCCCCTCCCCAACAATCCAGTGTGGTTTAAGGACTGGTTAGCCACCGTTACACTCTGAGCATGAGGAGGAAGTGGGGGATGGACAGGGAGAGTGTTGGACCGAGGATGATGGAGGGAGGGAGAAGACGCCTGCTGTTTGAAATCCAGAAGAGACAACAGAAAGGATGAAAAATCAATGGAAGAATCGATGAAGAGGATGAGTTTCTAACACTCTACCTGCCAGGCTTTTCCTTTAATTTACACACTTTTTTAAGGACCACCTTTTCTATCTGTCTCTGTTTTTTGATCTTTTGTGAATCATTGAGTCAGCAGCAAGTCGATGAGGTCTTTATACTCCCCAGACAAGCTCCACTGCCCCTTTGCCAGAGCCTGGGGAGGCCTGTGCTTTGTGTGTGTGTGTGTGTGTGTGTGTGTGTGTGTGTGTGTGTGTGTGTGTGTGTGTGTGTGTGTGTGTGTGTGTGTGTGTGTGTGTGTGTGTGTGTGTGTGTACGGTTGCATTCTGCCTCCATTCATGCATGCATCTGGTCAACCTGTAAGTCTTTGTTCCCGTTAGATGGCGTGTATAGATGCACTAGTGAGCCTCTCACACATCAGGGCTTTAAGTTGTACTTTCCATTTGGACGTGTGTGTTTGTGTGTCTTACCATATTTGTCCCCATCCTCTCCTCTGGCACTGATCCTGCGTCCCAACACCTGGACGTGCTTGCCGCTGGTGCGGCTGTAGAGCTGGTAGACCCGGTGGTGTCTCCGACTCATGGTGTCTCGCACCTGTGTCTGGTTCTCCACATGCACGCTGAAGTTGACTCCATCTACGCCAAGTACCTGCTGGGACACCCACGCACATCCGCAGCTTGTGAGCATATTTGAAGGACGGCATGTAAAACCAATATACAGCATGTCTTTTATGCTTAAATAACCACTGGCATGCATTCAGGCCCTCACCTGCAATGGATTGCACATCACCAGCAACATCTGGATACATCTGGAAAAAGCAGAAAGAGATGACTGTAGACTTATTGAATGTTGGACGAGTTGGGCATGACACCATCATTTCCATTTCTTTCTGTTCTCCATGCTCTCTCTCTCTCTCTGTTCTACATCTCATTTCCTTTTTGGGTGGTTTTTCACACTGCTGGGCGTCAGATTGGCACAGCCACTTGACATACAGGCCGGCAGATGTCCAGGAATCGGAAGACAGACAACACCCAGAGCGGTGTTTATAGTAACGCCACCAGCCTTCTGTCTGAACCCGCTCTCTGACCTGCCTTTGACATTTTCCACACCACAATCTGGCCTGCAAATGACCTGACTGGACCATGGAGAAATGGCAAATATGCCGAGACAAGTCGAACACGCTTTGGTTTGGACATCTGAGGAAATGGGCTGGCTCATTTGGCTGCTCCGTGTATGTAGACAGCTGGACTTGGACTACAGGTGTTCACTCAGCTGTGATGTGGCTTTTGAAAGCAGCGGATTGTGGTTTAGCTTTTAGAGATGCTCTGAATAAGCGGGAAAGTGAGCTCCTAAGATGTGACGGAAAACAGTTTATGGAAGAATCCATCAGTGGCGGCACAGTAAACGGAATTATGAATCATTCTGTATGAAAAGATGCAGATATTTGAGCGTATTGGTCCTTCGAGTCAACCTGTGAGAGAGGTTTGGGAGAAACCAGCTGGTTACATTTAAAATTATCATTCATCTCTCTATTGCACTGCTTAATTGACATGTAGACCTTGACCTTGAATGCATCACAGGTTATTTACTGCTTTAGTAAGGGAGTGATTGTCTCGCAAAATCTTCCTTGGCAGTCCTTGAACAGCTCTGAATTAGTGGCTGAACACTTGATGAAGTTCAGAACCAAGTGTGTGGGCTGAAAAGCAATTCTATGCATTTTGTCTTTCTTCACCTCATCTTTTGCTATCTTTCAGCAAGCCTCTCTCTTCCTTTCCCTGGCTCACAGTCCTCCCTGTTGCTCCTCAAGCTTATCCCTCTCTCTCTCTTCCACTCTTTCTGTGCACTCTACCTTTCCCCTATCATCCCCCGCCTCCAAACTTTCCTAATGTTTAGGGTTAGCGAGGTGACTCCTCCGCACTGTCGTGGGTACAGATGTGAGGATGTGTGCAGGGTGAATGTGTGTGCATGGGAGGAGCAGACAGCTGACAGCTGGGTCGAGGTAAAGATGTGCCGAGAAAAAGGGAAGGTGGACTGAGAGGTACAGAACAGCGAAGAAGAAAAAGAAGGTGATTTTGAGCAAACAGAGGAGAGATGACGCAGACGAGAGCTGACAGAAAATAAAAGATGCGAGAGATAAAATCTGAAAGAGCCGGCAGATGTACAGATGTGAGGTGAAGGAGACGGGGTCAAAATAACATCGGGGTCATGCCTCTCAAAGGACGGAGGAGAAAAAGCGGTCAAATTAAAGACAGAGGTGTAACCACGGAGCGAGGAGAGACGTGAGAAGTAGACGAGAAGACAAATAATGGAAAGGGGAAGGGTCTAACTCCTGAACATTGTAACACATGTCACCGTCTAACTGACTCACACACGTGTGCCATCCACAACCTTCTTGTTTCCTCTCATTTTTCTCTCCTCCTGTCTCAACATTTATCTTCCATAGCTGGTGCGTTGGCTCCTGGCTTGTCCTAATAGATGCAGACATCCTGGGAAATGCAGCAGAGCATTGGCCCTCGGATTTTGCCTGCGCAGCTGAAAAAAAGAACCCAGAGCGCCTGTGCATTGTGAGGACTCTCAGCTGTTAAAACACCACGGCTGCACTGCTGCCGAGGACGCTGTAGGAAAAGTGCCTCAGCACTGGATTCCCCCGCTCCCACAAAAACCACAGACACTCTATATTATGCCAGCTACAGAGAGAAAAAGGAGGAGAGAGGAAAGAGGGAGACGGGATCAGATCAGCCGGTGGTGGCGAAGGAAGGGGGGAGGGATGAGAAAATGAGAAAATAAGAGAGTGCAAAGTAAAAAAGTCAGGGAGAATAAAGACCGAAGGAGGTACGGAGAGAGGGAAAGCCCAGTGTGCCCGGGCAGGCTGCCAAAACAAGCAGCCATCTGACATCATAAACCTGCATCCCTGAAGATCAACCATATGGAGGTTGTGGTTAGACGAGCAGGCCTCAGCACCGCGGACTGGGCAAGAGTGCGGAGTGAGAGCGGTCGACCTGTGGGACTCGGCATGGAGCGGCGGTTTCAGCCGTGTGTAGCGGCGGTTACCGTGGTACGCCAATGCTTCTGCACAGTTCAAGAGTTTCAAATGTTCTGCAAGCAGACATTGTTTTAGAGCCTAGCAGGGCTGTGAGCAGCGCTACAACCCATGATGCAGCAAAGGTTAGAAAAGCAGAGGACTTCGACTTCAGGATGTGGTGTTAACAAGTCGTAGTGCCCAAGTATTTTGCCTTGCATACTAAAAAACCTGCGATTGTGATGCTAAAACAGCTTAAGATGAAGAAAAGCTGCTGCGGTTTCACTGATAGATGAGATGGAAATAAGTGTTGAGTTAATTGGCACAGAGAAACCTGAAGTAAAAGCAGCAGACTAAACAGGCAGAGTGGTCTTCTGAAGATGCCAGGGGTGCCATCAATCATCTGTTACTAATCCAGCTGTTTATGTCAGAGAAAGTATGAAAATGGGAATAAAAGAAGAGTGGTGTTTGGGCAGGAAAAGACGGATAAAGACAGATAAACGGAGAAAGGGTGAGAAAAAGAGAGGAAGGCAGGAAGATACAAGCAGCAGCAGCAGCAGCACACACCCTGTTCAGGTTGTGTGAGGAATGAGAAGTATCTAGAGATGACTGCCATCTGGGAGAAGAACCACCGACACACAGAAAAATAAATCCTTTGGCTTTTGAGAAGACACACCTCAACTGGGCAAGACCTCTGAATCTGTCTCCTCCTCCCTTCCATTTGGCACCCGTTCAGTTTCCTTTTCCACTTGATAAAAACTGCTATTTGACTCAACTTCTGAAATATTTTCATGAGCAAAAAGCACAATTTTTTTGGCAGCAGAAGAATGGCCATTTCTTAGCCACCCCCATGCAAGTGCAGATGAGGATGGAGATGTTTATGGTGGGTTTTATGAGTAACATGGCCCCGACTCTGACCCAGTGACCCTGAACTGTTAGCCAATCATAACAGGCCCTTCCACTGCATGTTTTCTGTAGGAACTGATGTAATCGGCTGACACTGCAACCACCTCCTCCTGCTTCTTCATCTGCAGCACACATTTTTAAACAAACGAGGAGAAAACGTGAGCTTACATGAAAAGAAAGTGAAAAATTGTGACTTACAAGACGGTCAACGTGGAAAGAAGGGGCCACATTGCTTCCCCACTCCACTATGGAGCTTGTCCCAGAGACAGTCTCCTCGCTCGGTGTGAGCCAGTCCGGAGAGTCCCGCTCTGAGTGGTGAATCTGATGGATGCAGTCCGCTGCCAAAGAGTCAGAGGTCACTCCTGTTGGCATCGGCGTGTCCCCGCAAGCTTCCCGTTGTGGGTGAATGTGCTGTAAGGGGCTGTGACTGTGCCACTCTGACCGCCGGGCAACCTTTAACAGCTGGAGGGACAGATGGGTGGGCGGAGGGGAGCACAGACTCCAAACGCTGGCGGTGCGCGCGCCCGAGAGGGAGAGGAACAGGTGAAGGCGCGTTCACGCTTCACTGATGGCCAATACCAATCGACCTTTCTGACCCCCAGGGTGATGCGTAACCCCACCAAACAGATGCGGCGTGTGCGTAATCCAGTGCGCAACGTTCCAGCGCAACAGTCGTGGCTCCAGATGGATTACAAACTCTGGGATGATAAAATAGGATGTGTTCCGGCGAAGAAGTACAGGTTTAGTTCCAGCAGCGCGTGGTTAGGAGCCCCTGTAGGAGAACTAATAGCTGATGGATCAAACCGCGAGCTGGAGATGGGGGCTTTGCGGGCGCAGGACGCGAGACGACCTCGTTCATGTCTGCGCCTCCACTCGACAGGGCAGCGGCTCAGGTGACACCGGCCAACAGTGTTCGAGAGAGCGGGTGATAAAGTCCAGAAGCGGTCCAGCTCAGGAGCTGATTTTGTAACAGGAGGGGATGATGACGGGGGAGAGTGGGAGGGAGGGGTGACTGGAGATGATGGGAACAGCTGCGACTGGGTGGCAGACTCAGCCACCCGCGACACGGCGAGGAAATGACACGCCGCACCTTGCACCTGATTTTCCGGACTCCCCCGCTCCCCCGAAGCGGCTGCGTCTAGTTCCTGGCTGCAGCAGTCCTCGCTGCGCCCTCTCCGCACAAAATACCTGCCAAAACACAGCACGATGACATCACCTCCAAAATGTTTCAAGGGAAAAATGCAATCCGATCTTGGTATTTATTTTTTTAACGTAGAAAGTTTAGGCAATTTCCCTGAAAGAGCAGGGGAGAAAAAAAGTCTCTTGGTTCTGAGAAAAACGAACCGTGCAGCGCAAGAGTAGCAGAGTGAGAGGAGCTCAGCAGATTGTGGAGAAATAATAACAATAAAAAGTTAAAGCAAAACGTGTTTAGTCAAAGTCACGCTGACAGTCGACCCCCGGAGCAGAGTCTGCTCCCCCATAGAGCTGCTTCATTCACACACCAGAGGAGAAAACGCAAAAAGAACCCAGCCGTGCGCTTTTATCCACTTCACTGGTATTATGCAGATCCGTCTCCTTTTCAGAAAAAAAAAATCCAAGGTTTCTTTTCTTTTTTCTTTTTGTAAAGGAAAAAAACTGCTCTTCTTGAGGGGGCTGCGCAGGAGAGGCGCGTCGGCAGGCACAGACCTCACTCCAAGAAAAACCAGAACAAGATTTTAACAGACGCGGATCAATCCTCCCTCCTCCTCCCCTCTCAGCTTCTTCTCCTCTCTCTCTCTCTCTCTCTCTCTCTCTCTCTCTCTCTCTCTCTCTCTCTCTCTCTCTCTCTCTCTCTCTCTCTCTCTCTCTCTCTCTCTCTCTCTCTCTCTCTCTCTCTCTCTCTCTCTCTCTCTCTCTCTCTCTCTCTCAGGATGAACATGTGATTTATAAGATGCTGACCAAAACTTGCGCTGCAGAATGTGAAAACATCTGTTAATGAGGTGCGATGATGTCACAACGCAAACTAACTTGTTTCATTAATTACTGGAAGTCAGACTCCTCATTTTTTCGGAGGTTCTGTGTTTTTCTGTCTTGTTTTTGGCTCGAGTTTGTGGTAATTCCTGAAACAAGGAGAATGCATGGAAACAATGAGGGTGATGTCATGGCATCGACATTACTCAGCTGCAGAAAGAAAGTGCATTTAAGAACAGATGATTTCTTGAGTGAGACCAGCTGAAAACTGAACTGTTTCTAAAAACAATCTCCTGGTTGAGTCAAGTGAATTTATGCCATTAAGCTCTGCTATCCTCCTCTAAAGATAACCTCCCTCCCTGTGCAGCTCCGCATCAGGATTGGAAGCGAAAAACTGGAAGACATTGCGCTCTCACATGCGCGCGCTCACACCCTGCAAGTGAAGCATCCTCCTGCATTTCATAACTTTTCAGTTGAACCCTAAGAGGGAGGAATGAAAAAGAGAATGAGACGATCGGCTGGGCGGTATGTAAGCACGGACACGGATCCAAAACGAACATTTCTCAGGGATTTCGGCAGCAACGCCTGCGCTGCGCTCCCAAAAATCTCCCTCTCACCGCCGCACAACCGCAGACGGTCAGCCAAGCCAACACAGCACTCCTGCCATACCTTTCGTTCACACACACACACACACACACACACACACACACACACACACACACACACACACACACACACACACACACACACACACACACACACACACACACACACACACACACACACACACACACACACACACACACACACACACACACACACACACACACATGCACAGAAAAAGAATAGAGAGTAAACTGTGAGTGTGCTAGATTTAGAATATGTCCTTATAGTCTTTTTACATCAGAACACACACACACACACACACACACACACACACACACACACACACACACACACACACACACACACACACACACACACACACACACACACACACACACACACACACACATGCTTTGCGACTGGACAGAGTTGAGCAGGGCTGGGTAGGAGAGCATTGTGGTTGAATGCCTTTCCAGTCATGCACTATAGACAAGCCCCTGGCCTTCTTCCCCCTCTCCTGGCTCCGTCTCCATCTTTGCACCTGTGTCTGGGTGCTTTCTCTATGCTCGCCGCAACACTGCAAGGGACATTAAAGTATTTCTGAATTGAATTGAATTAGTGTAAATGTTGTGGAGAGGGATTTGAACCGCATTCTGGTGATGAGGTATGGGCCTGTCTGGTATTTTTAAAGCTCACATGTGAGGGGTCAATAAGGGGACTAGTGCACGTCTTGGAGTGAAAAAGAGAAAGAGGAGGAGAGGATCTGGGCTTGGGTTACCAGTGTGTGGTGAGTGTTTGTTCAAGGTAATCTGGAGAGATTAGCTCAGTTCTAAAGCAGCAACATTCACACTTTGTTTACAGTAGCTTGTTAAATAAGCCAATCACATCAGTTAGTCATCTAACAGGTGACCTGTTGGTGCTCAAACTGAGAATTCAAACAGAGTAGAAATTACACAACTCTGGGTTATGGGTGTCAGTGTCAGAACCTGCCGATCTGGGATTTTCACCCACAACCACCCCTGGGATTTACAGAGAATGGTCAGAAAAGAGTAAATACCCTGTCAGCATTTCTGTGGATGTGATGTTGGAGGTCAGAGAAGAACCAGCAGACTGGTTCTGGATGATAAAAAGGCAACAGTAGCTCGGATAACCACTGGTTACAGCCAAGGTCTGCAGAGTAACATCTCTGACCTTGAAGCAGATGGACTGCAGCTGCAGAAGACCACACCTGTTGTCTCTCCTGCCAGCGGCAGGAAACTGAGAATAAACCTCTCACAGGATCATCAGAACTACATCACAAGAGAATGATGTATGGCCTGATGTTTCTGGGTTTCAGCTTCAACATTTAGGTCGGGTCATGAAAACATGGATCCATCCTGCCCTGTTTCAGTTCTTCAGGCTACTGCTGCTGGTGGAATGATGTGAAAGACTATCAGTAGTACCGCCTGAGCCTGGTTTAAACACCACAGCCTATTCCTTTATGACCACAGGATCCATCTTCTGCTGGCTCCTCCAGCAGGATGATGCACCATGTCACAAAGCTCTAACTGGTTTCTAGATCATGACCATGAGTCTGCTGGACTCCCACGACCTCCACAGTCACCAGACCTCAAACCAGACCAGAACCTTTAGGATGTGGTGGGAACAAGAGATTCACATCATGATTGTGCAGCTGACAAAACCTCTTAGAAAGTTTTCAAACACCTTCATCCTCAAATGTCTGCAGCATCTTTGAGACTGAGAAGTAAGAGTGAGACGTATTTCTCATTTCATCTGTAAAACTGATTTTTTTGTGCTTTGTGCTGACATAAAGATGTGAATCTTATCTATTAGAAATAGAAATGTATACATTTTTAAAAAAGGAACCTGTACAACTTTTCATTCCATCTTTCAGTTCTTTTAGATGGAACACATACAACTCTTCACTGCCCATTTATTTCACATCCACCCGGTTTGCCTTTTTATCTGCTGCCTCTGTTCTGCCCTCTGTTTGCAGCCAGCATATTGATTACTCATGTCTTTGCCTCTGCAGCTTCAGCCTATTGATCCTCACCTAAAGAACACACACACACACGCACACACACACACACACACACACACACACACACACACACACACACACACACACACATACACACACACACACACACACACACACACACACACACACACACACACACACCCTTTTACATAGAATAGACTTGGCATTGATAGACGTGATGCCTTTATGTGCATTGACTCATTTAGTGAATGAGGCACGTGTGTGAGTGTGTGTGTGTGTGTGTGTGTGTGTGTGTGTGTGTGTGTGTGTGTGTGTGTGTGTGTGTGTGCGTGTGTGTGTGCAGCCCTGCATCTGCTGTGGGTCTGGGCCACTCGCTTTTCCTTTTTGTATTTCTTCCTCTTTGACCGGGCCGTCTTCATCCCGGGAGCTGGGTCAATATGGTCATTCGGTTTAGCAATTAACATCGATCAGTGCTTGTCAATACCGTCAGCACCCAGACAAAGACCCAGGATGCATTGCGTGTGCCCGCCCTTTTCTCCATCAGAGCCTCAACAAATCCCCAAACGACACTCTCATTATGAGAGGGCATTATAGCCTGACCCCGAGGTCATCATGCATGACTCTGTGCTATGGGTGACTGGAGAACAACCCAACGACCAGCCCAGAAAGTTTGAGCTGCAGGCCAGTTGTTGACTCATTAACACAGTTGTGCATGCACGTGGGGGTGTGGATAAGATGTCAAGTTTAAAAATGGCTTGTTTCAGATGCTGTCGGAGATAAGATGTCAGACAGGGAACACTCCCCCCCCACCCCCACCCGCTGTGTCCTCCAAAGTGTTTGATATTCCGAAAACTTTCAGCAGCCTAAATGCAATCCATCATTCTGGTGACACCAAGTTCAGATTTGGCCCTTTCAGATGTGTCAAGTGCAGTGGATCGTATCCAATCAGGTTTGTGTATATGCCGTGAGTTGTTTGGATGGGTGTTGGGACCAGGAACCTGTGTGTATGTGGGACCTCTGGGTGGAGTGAGAGGCTCCAGGTTTTGATTAATACCTGCAGACACGAACCCCTAAAGTCCACATCAGATGTTGAGATGTCAGCCTAACACTGTTTTCTGGGATAGATAGCCCTGCTCCGTTAATCACGGGCCAAGTTTAAACTGTTACCCAATGTGTAAATGTATGAGACACTTAATAAAGCCCCTTTGATGACAGGGGGGGGCCCATGCAAAGTCAAGGAATGTGTACAGTGTGCTCGACTTTGAAATGAGAACCTGTTTGCCACTTGTTCGCGTCTGCAAGATGAGAGAATCGACAGCTGCAGCTAAGTGAGGGCAGGAATCAATTAACAGAGAGCAACAGTGAGCCTTGGATGAGATGAAGAGAAAGGCAAAATATTGTTTTTATTAGCGGCGGCGTTGGTGGTTCACAGCCAGCTCCCTTCTTTCGCTTTGCAAGATTAATCCAGCTAATGTGAACATTTACTCTGCTTCATCCCGGAATCTGTTGCAGCTGTCGTCTCTATACATAGTCCAGCTAAAGCACTGGAATAACTTTACTTTGACACTTTCATGTTGGAGGGTTTGATGTAGCTTTGGATACACGTCAGGGTGATTATTCAAGCAATCTAGCTTGAGCCAAATCCCTCTTTTAGAGTCAACCGTGCCTCCTCCGTCTACACCTGCATTCTTAACGGAGCCCGTACGACTTCAAAATGTAATTTATTCAGCAACTGCGGCAGTTTATTGTCATTGTTGTGGGTGAGCTTTGCTAAAGTGCTTAATAATACTAAACATCTGCTGCTTTCATTTGAGCACAAAAAGCAAAATCCTTCGCTAACATCCAAAAGTGTATGTCATCCAGCAGCAGCACTGTCTCATCTTTGCCTCTGGCCCCCCTGGCAAGACCATTAGTTGGAACTTTGGACATTTTACATCAATAAAGCCGTGTGCTAAAATCATAAAGACGTCAAACTTGGAAGGCACTATCCTTCTGCACCTGGTACATAAATCAATCTCATCAAGAACTCCTGACAGGACCTCGTGACCGTGGCCAACTATTCGAGACCCTCTGAACATCCCAACGAAGCTAAAGCAGAGACAGACACGAGTTTCATCAACAACAGGGACAATGTGAATATTACTTTTGACATGTAGATGTGCAAAACTGAAGACAGATGTTGCAACGCTACAGGGTAAACACAGAAAAACCTGCGTGATGCCGATCAGGAGCAGGCGTGGCGCTGCGGGGCTGGGTTTTTCGGCACGGCGAGCATGTATAAGTTAATTGCTTTTGACCAATGAGGTTGTACTTAAATATGCAATGCTCAGCAACTGGGTGGATGTTTGTTTAATTATGGACCTTTGCGGTTGTGTGTGTTTGTTTGAGTGTGAGTGTGTGTGTGTGTGTGTGTGTGTGTTGGGATTCTTAGCGACAGACCGTGTGCAGCTGAGTGTGGGGGATATGTGGCAGCAGAGCAAACAGTTCCTGGGTATGTGCAAAGATCGTGTCAACAACAGTATGCACAGACTCGTGTGTGTGTGTGTGTGTGTGTGTGTGTGTGTGTGTGCGTGCGTGTGTGTGTGTGTGTGAGAGAGAGAGAGGGAGAGCTATCCTGTCACTTTCCATGCACTGCAATGTGAATCGCAGCTGGGGTTTGTGTTGGACGCTTGTCCGGCACGTTGTTTTTAGTCTTCCTGTTTTATGTTCAGGAGCTCAGCGATGGAATCCATGAGCATGGTAACTTTCACTACTGTCATCCCTTTTCTCCTCCCCCTCCTCCTTCACATCTTCCCTGGTAAGTGCCCTTTACCATCTCATCTTCCTTTCTGCTCCTTGTTGTGCTGCTTCTGCTCCTTCTCACCATGTCCGGTTCGCCCATTCAGGTTTTTTCCCTCTTCCTCTCCCCTTTAGCCTTGCCACCGAGCAGAGGAGGAACTGTAATGTTTATGAAACCCTTTAAAGTGCTATGTAATTACCCTGGCAACACCTCCCATCATTACTCATGCCAGTAAAGTGCCTTAGAATTGACATGTCAAAGTGAAAGAATGGAGGCGTAGCTCAAACTTTTCCACCATTCATTACTTTTCTCCATTTTTTTCTTGCATTTCTTCTATTTACTTGTTTTGTTTAGTTGTTTCTTTCATTCTTTCCACTCACACCTACAGCATTCCTGTCTTTACCCACTTTCCCTCCGACTCCTGCCAGATGCCCAGGTGGTCAATTGCATCACAACTCCTCTCGGAATAACAAAAGCATTCCTAAACTTGATGTGCCCATTTTGCACAGGTCTCTCTGCATGTGTTGGAAAGCAAACAGATGTTTGTGATGCTCTTTGCATGTTTTTAAATGAAGATGCGTTAAACAGACTATCAGAAGCAGTAGTACATTTGAACGATGCATTCCTTAAACAAATATTGCAGAAATGTTTGTTGACGCTGAAAACCTCCACAGGCAGATAACAGACGCTCATGCAACGGTCCCTCCCTTCACAAAGCACCCAGCTGCGCTACTTACTTCCACTTACAGCAGAGGCCTTGGCTCTTCTTGTGTTCTGGTCTCATGCTAAGGCCCATAGCCTTTCCTGACTTATGCAGTAAAGCCAAAACCCTGTCTGAAGTCTCATCTTTAGGCTCCTGCTGCAGTTTTCCCCACTAAAAGTCATTGCTCTGTGACCAGGCAAAACCCTCATTTGTAAGACAAATATTATAACACATTAAGCAGCAAAACAACGGGTGGGTGTCTGCCTGACGTCAGCCTGCATTTCATTAGCAATCGCTAGGCTAACACGTTCCATATGGAGGAGCCTGCAGGGTAGCCCCCTGCTGCCCAGCCCCAGCCCAGCTCGGCCTGGCCTAGGGTGGCCCATCTCGACTCCACCACCAGGGCCTGCCACCGCCCTTACTCTCATTCAAACCCCAGTTCAGATCCTATCTGCGCCCCCACCATTTTGTCTTCTCTAATTTGGACTTGTCACACATCACCTGACACCCACCCCTTCATGCTGTATCCTTTTGTCCCGCCGGAGCAAGAAAGGCACTCTGGAGGATTTCTTCCTCTTCTTTTTTCTCCCACATTTCCTGTGGTTTTATTCTTTCTTTTCTTTTCTTTTTTTTCATCTTCCTCTCTTACACTCTTTCCCCTTGTTGACACTCCTGTTGCCCACCTGCCTTACCCCCCTGCCCTCTGTCATGCCCAGGTTTGATTTGTTCGTGAGTTTCTGTTAGTGTTCAGATTTAGATGAGATTCTGATCTCACCTCTGATCAGAGAGCCACAAGCCTTTCCCTCTGACTGAACCACAGAGCGGAACGACGGTGAAAAATAAGATGTGACAGTCAAATGGGACGTTCTGACAGGATTCTGGAGCGATACTTTGACTTGGGCAGGACCACTGGATAACAGCGGGGATGTGGTGATGTCTCCCCTGATGGAAATGTGGAATGTGACGAATCTTTGGAATTTGATGGAGGAGGAAGATGAAGAAAGAAACACAGAGAAAGAAGATTAAAGAAGATATGAAGATAAGAAAAGATTAATGGTCATTTGCCGGGGTGAGCAGTCTGAGAGAAAGATTGGTTTTGGGTGATTTTTGTATAGTTTCATTTTTGGGTAGGTTGGGAGCAGTGTGTGTGTGTGTGTGTGTGTGTGTGTTTGAATGTGTCTTGGTTTGTGTATCCGTATGGCTGTGTGTGTTGGTTACGTTGCACGCCCATTGGATCTGCAGTTTCTGGTTGCCTTCACTCATCGCTGCCCCGTTCCCTTGGGTCCTCGCTGCTGGCTTCACTCTCCTGATCTGCTGCCAGCTTTCTATTCTATTCTATTCTATTCTATTCTATTCTATTCTATTCTAATTGCTTATTGTGCATGTTTTTTCTCAGATGAATTGTGTATTTTTTGGTGTAAACTCAAAGCCGTATTGATGTTGGATCGAATTGCAGTTATGATAGATTAGTTTTGAAAGCCCCATTTCTACATAACTTCACATTACTTCTACACTAAAAGCAACATATAAATCAAGTGGTGACAGCTGGTGGACAACCACTTGGTGGAGTTATTCTTTTCAGTTTGGTTGCTTGTATTCTGCTCGGTTGGAGAACAATCACTTTTATTACAAAGGCTTTATCTTGCTTAAAATATTGATAACAGTAGACCTGGATAACGGATCGGTAAACCAGGTAGTAGAACTGTGTGACGTTGGACTGAAAACTGGATGAAAAAAGTAAATTTCATGTAAAAGGCAACTGAAGCCAGTACATCGCTGCAACTGCTGGCAACAAGTTGGAGAGGAGAAAATACAAGAAAATATTCAAATTTCCTGTTGGAATTAAACTAAATTGGTACTTTTGACACTTTTGCAAGAAGTTTTATAATTGACCAGGTCAATAGCTTAACTTGGCATGAATAATAATAAAGGATTAGAATTATATAGCCCTTTTCAAGGCACCCAAAGCTTTTTCCCTTATTCACACACTGCTGGTGACGGTAAGCCACAACCGACAGAGGTGAGGTTTTCATTTGGCACCATCTAGCCTTCAGACCATGAGCAACATGATAAATGATAAATGACCCACACTTGGATAGCGCCTCTCAGAGTAAGGACTCCAAAGCACTTTACACTACGGTGTATCATTAATCCATTCACACACTGATGGTGATGATGAGCTACGATGTTGCCACAGCTGCCCTGGGGCGCACTGACGGAGGCGAGGCTGCCGAGCACAGGTGCCACTGGTCCCTCCGACCACCACCAGTAGGCAAGGTGGGTTAACTGTCTTGCCCACGGATACAACAGCAGACTTTGGCAAGTAGGTTGAAATGTCTTGCATGAGGACACAACACTAGAATCCGGGAGCAGGGATTGATCCAGCAACCCTCAGATTAGTGGATAAAGAGATCTGCCTCCTGAGCTAATGCTGCTAACTACAAACTGTTATCCACATTTAATCAGAAATTGTCTCAAGTATGTCTCAATTTCTTTGCAGTTGGGTCACAGATCCAAATCAAAGGTTGTTGCACATTTCTTGAACTTTCTGACTCACCAAAACTAAACTGAGATGATTTCCAGACACACTCAGCAAGTCTGCAACTAATTTCAGAGAAATATTGATAGATATATTGTAACCCGTTTAAACTTCTAGCTACACGAGCAACCCTGTGACTCAAGCCAGAAAAACTTTAAACCCTCTCAAATTTGAGACATTTCGATACTTCTTTATTGATGATGTTCAGAGTTTGTCCCCAACACACACAAACACACACACACAGACACACACACACACACGCGTGCATGTGTGTGTGTGTGTGTGTGTGTGTGTGTGTGTGTGTGTGTGTGTGTGTGTGTGTGTGTGTGTGCATGTGTGTAGCTCCCTGGGCTGCCATCTTGCATGGTGGAGGATGCTGAGTGTCCCCATGACCCTAGGAGCTAAGCTGTCTGAGGCGTTATGCCTCTGATAGGGTCACACATGGCAAACAGATCCTAGGTGACGGAACAGACAAAGTGCAGCCCAATGACCCTTTATGAAAAAAATATACATGGAAATAACGTTCCCTCGCCCAGATGTGAGTCACTGGAGCCCCCTTTTGGAGCCAGACCTCGAGATGGGGCACGTTGGCAAGCACCTGGTGGCCGGTGGCCTTTCACCCATGGAGCCCGGCCGGAAACAGCCCAAACAGAAAACGTGGGTCCATGGGCTCACCACTTGTGGAAAGGGCCATAAGCGTTGGGTGGCAGCAGAAGGCAGAGACCTTGGCGGTCTGATCCTCAGCTACAGAAGCTGGCTCTCAGCATGTGGAATGTCACATCTATGGTAGGGAAGGAGCCTGAGTTGGTGTGTGAGGTTGAGAGGTTCTGGCTAGATACAGTCAGAGTCACCTCAACACATGGATCTGGCTCTGGAACCAGTTTCCTTGAGAGGTGTTGGACACTCCACCTCTCTGGAGTTGCTCCCACTGAGATGCGCTGAGCAGGGGTGGGCACACGTGTTTCCCCCCATCTTGGTGCCTGTACGTTGGGGTTTACCCCCGTGAGCGAGAGGGTAGCTTCCCTCCGCCTACATGCAGGGAAATGGGTCTGTACTGTTGACTGTGCTTACGCACCAAACTACAGCTCAGACTACCCACCCTTTTTGGAGTCCTTGGACAGGGTGCTGGAGAGTGCTCCTTCCGGTGACTCCCTCACTCTCCTAGAGGACTTTAACGCTCATATGGGCATTGGCAGTGAGACCTAGAGAGGTGTGGTTGGGACAAATGGCCCATCTGGTCTAAATTCTAGCAGTGTTTGTTATTGGACTTCTGTGCTAGTCATGGATTGTCCATAATGAACACCATGTTCAGACATAAAGGTGTCCATATGTGCTCTTGGCACCAGGATGCCTTAGGCCGCTGCTCGACGATCAACTTTGTTTTTGATCTGATCTGCAGCTGCATGTCTCAGACACTCTGGTGAAGAGAAGTGTGGAGCTGTCAACTGACCACTACCTGGTGGTGAGTTGGCTCAGATGGTAGGGGAGGATGCCGGTCAGATCTGGCAGGCCCCAAAGTATTGTGAGAGTAAACTTGGAATGTATGGCACAGTCTCCTATCAGAAGGCGTTTCAATTCCCACCTCCGACAGAACTTCCAGAATGTTCCGAGGGAGGTGCGGGACATTGAGATTGAGTGGGCCCAGTTCTGTGCCGGATAGGTTGCCCACAGGGTCATTGGTGCCTTTCATGGCGGCAACCCTCAAACTTGTCAGTGGATAACAGCGGTTGGGGATGTCGTCAAACTGAAGAAAGAGTCCAATCAAGTGTTTCTGACCTGTGGAACTCTAGAGGCAGCTACCGCAGATACCGGCAGTCCAAGCAAAATGCAGCTCAGGTGGGTGCAGAGGAAAAAACCCGGATGTGGGAGGAGTTCAGTGAGACCATGGAGCAAGCCTTCTGCACAGCTTTGAAGAGATTCTGGTCCACCATCCGGTGCCTCAGGAAGTGAAACCAGTGCACTACAAGCATTGTTTATAGTGAGGACAGAATGCTGCTGGATGGAATACTTTGAAGACCTTCTCAATCCCACCGGAACGTCTTCCAGCAAGGAAACAGAGTTCGAGGACTTTGGGTTGGACCAGAGCTATAGAAAGAGTTATGACACTCCATTAGACTTCAATGGAAAGAATGGAATGCGGAAGTCACGTGGTTCATGGAGCTTCGAATAGTTCCAAACAGCCCCCGCTGTTGCATTGACAGCAGTTCATTTTCAGTGTTTCGAAAGGATTTTCTCCCAAGTTGATGAAATGTCATCATTTTTTTGCATTGTGAAGCGTCAGCAAAAGCGGTACCAAAATAAGCCAACGATGATCTTTTATGTTGCCAGTTTTAGCTAGATAACCTTTAATGAGCTAATTGTGTGCAGCTTGTTGATTGTGAGCCGGAGGGTTTAGACAAGCTTGATGAGCTGCAGACGGGTTTATTTCAGTTTGATTCTATGTTTTAAAAATATTCCCCACAGTTTGAAATAGGTTATAAACTTTTTAAATTATTAGTTTTATTTGGGAATATTTGTACAATACGTTGCTGGTTGCTGTATCAACACAAACATGCATCAGAAATGGAAGCACAAATGGAAAGACCAATAATAAAGAAAAACGTGATTGTGAAGACAAGTAATTATTGAATATTTTTCAGTCAACAACACTGACTGCAACAAACTGCTGAAGCATGAGACAAACAGGATTACGAATGGAAGAAGAAATGTTGTTTTATTTTGTGTACTCAAGTAATAAGAATAAAATTACGATATTTCAAGAACAGTAGCCGGACACAATAACTTAAAAATTAGACATTTTCCATAAAACTGCTCATTTCTACTTGCTTTATAATATTAGCATTTGCAATTTTGTTATTAAGTAAGGAATGACAAGAAATAAGGATCAACAATAACACAACTATCAGTAAATAAATGTCAAAGAGTTAATAAAGCAAAAATCTTATGTAACCATTAAAGGTTAAACTGTGTTGTGTGTCCATCTTCATGTTTTCATAGTGGCTGAGCGGAGAGCTGACCAGGAACAACGGTGGTGGCAAATCCCAGTTGAGTCTGTGATGGAGTGATGCACGCCTTGAGTGATTGCCATCTCATCCACAGTAAGCTCACACTCTCTTTCCATCTCTGTCAGATTTTTAACCTTCAAACTGAGCATGTCACACACCTCTCCTAACACACCTGGTTCCAGTTAATGGGCTGCATTTGTCTTTGCAGGTTCTAACATCAGGCAGAGGGACACTCATGTCCTGAAGAAACCTGTAGCCTGTTGAACCCACTGAAAAACAGAGTTGTACCGCCTTTTTGATTGTCTGTTTACTCCATTTAATGCCTCTTGTGTTTTTCGTGCCTTTTTGATTTTCTATCTCCTCCCTTAGGTTTTCCAGCTGGGTTCCCTGGTTGCATAGCCTGTTCCTTTCTCCTCCTGGCCCTGACGTCGGCTCCTCATGGCTTCCTGGGATGTCCCTCTCTCCTGATACCATCTCATGTCCCCCCTCACTTTCCCTCATCTCATTTGCCTCACTGCTGCTGCTGCTTTCCTCATTCTCTGAAATTATAATGCCACTGTTAGAATAAAGAATCATTTTTAAATAAAATAAATTCAAATGTCTAATATTTCTAAAGGTTCATACCACAGTTTACTTGAGTACAACATGTGTGGTCACTGGTCAGTGGATCAACATGCAGTGGTTCTGCTGTACTTCACTGCGGGATTCCTCCTCCTCCTTGGTTCAGGGCGATGAACAAACAGCATCAGCCCTGAGTCTCAGCTTGCCTTGCCTAGTCTTAGTAAACTGTCCCTCCTCATAAAGTGCCTGTAGAGTGGTGTATTAGTTTATTTCCTGCCACATTTAACAGTTTAATTGCAGTCTTGTGCAGTCGAGAGCAGAACATGTAGTGCCTTGATAGAAAACATTTGAGAGTGTGCATTAAGCTAGCTGCTCACAGCTTTTTGTTATTGTGATCTCTGGTCATGGTGCGGTTGCTCCTGCTGACTTGAGCCAACCATTTTCTTCTTCTCTCTGCATCTTTGGGGAAGCCATAATTCTGATTCCTCCCTCAGACCGATGGCTACATCCATATGCAGCCAACCATGGTAAGATAATCAACCTATAAAGGTATTGTTAAAATACTATTTTTGTACATATAGAAATATTGAACTAAACCACAAATATAGAGATGTAAAACATTTACATTTTAAAAATTTATCCAACCCTAAAATTTTTTATTTCAAATTTTAACCCACGGACACATTTTATTTGAATAATAATCAAAATAAAGTTATTCAAAAGAGTTTCATTAGGTCTTGAGTACATTGCTCATAATCAATGATTCAGCTTATTTGTGCATATGTAATGACTAAACATAATGTTGGTAAAATGGTTTATTAAAATGCTGTTATACATGTTGTACAAGTTTGGTGTTCATTTTTTCACAATTAACACTTTTTTATCTACTGTGTTTGACCGTACAGTTTTATTGAAAATTTCTTTTTAATTAGTTGCTATTAGTCAGGCTATAGAAGCCAGATAAACTGGGTTATAGATAGGGATGCACCAATTAGGTTTTTTGCTGCAGATCACCGATCACCGATATCAAAGAATGCTGATCACCGATACCGATCAAGTGGATTGGCCAGAAATTTTCTACAACATTATAATGAGTGCTACATACTACATAATCTGGGAATAAAGGAAATGTAACCTAATCTAAAATGGTCTGTATTAGGGTTGTCACGGTGTGAAAATTTAACCTCACGGTTACTGTGACCAAAATTAACACAGTTTTCGGTATATTTGCGGTATTTTTTTTAAACGTGCTACATTTTCACACAATTAAATAAACCCTGTATGTCAGGAAATATTGTCCTCAGTTTGTGCCTAAATTTTGCCTAAAATGTGATATTTTGTAATGATGTTGTTTATTTGTTTACATTTTTTCCCTTTAGTCTTTAAAATACCAATATTTGCCCATAACTCCTTATTTTATGTCTGTTTGATGTCATCATTTTAAAAATATTAGACCAGATGATACTCAGTACTCAAGTAGCCTTCTAATCAGATACTTTTTTACCCTTACTTGAGTAATAAACCCTATATCAGGAAAATATTGTCCTCGGTTTGTGTCCTTCCAGTGAACTTTGCAGATGTGGGAAAATGTCATCAGGCAGTAATCGTTGTTAAATTCATAATTATTCTCGGAGAGAGACCAACTCTTATCTGCCCCTGGGAGCCCCGTAATGCATAGCGTCATTTCAACATGGCGGAGTCCGCGACACGGTTTATATGCAGGTAGCGGCGCTGCGGCTGCTTTATATAGCGACTCGTTGCATTCTCCCTCAACCCAAATCCTCCGATCACGCATTTCAGCTAAAACGCTAACGTTAGCTTGCCTTGCGTTGACTGTAGAGTTGTGGGTGATGGTCACGCAGATGTGTCATGAGATTTGAAGCGTTGCTGCCTTTCACAGACACTTTTTCTTCACGTGCTGCAAACAGGATAGCCGTCTTCTATCTACTGTCCCTCTGTATTCTTCAAATATCCAAAATATGCCCGTACTTCCGACTTTGTCTTCTTTGAGGGATAAAAAATGTCCTCCTGAGTGTTGCCGTCTCCTCCTTTGGCCGTTATTTCAGCTTTAGCTTCAAGAAAGTTTTGGTTGTAAACAACAAAGCGCGCATGTGCCGCCGGCAACTTCAGCAGATGATACGGTGGCTGGTAAGGGTCACCGCGCCTACGCCGCAGCCACAGTAATCCACCGAGATAATATATATTTTTTAAAAACAAGAAGGTTATTATTATTGTCAACTTTTTAACCTGGGTTTACTGCTACACCGGTTACCGTGACAACCCTACCTAATGGTCTGCTTTGATCTATTTTGAAAACTCCGATCAAAACCGATAGGGGCGCTATCGGCCGATTGGGATCGAATGCCGATCCATCGGTGCATCCCTAGTTATAGATGCATGTACTGTCTTCACATAAAATGATAAAGTAATGATTGTAAAATGTATTCTACTGAACATAATAGATCATCATTCAAAGCATAAACAGCTACATATTTTCTTCAAGGTAAGTTGGAGCAGAATAAACCACTTTGAAATGGATATTACAACTCGAATTTAGGGCTTCTTGTAGGACTTAAAGTTATTAAATATGCTCATATTAGAGCAGTGTGTTGCATTACTACATCAAATGTATTTCTATAATATATTATAGTAATGTATGTGGTCTAAATGTATTCTACAGTGTGTTAGGACTGTCGTATTCCTGTAATGTAGAACAGTCACGGGTGTCTGTCTTCCTGCAAATGCTCGGAAATAAACAAATAGGCTACTTTGTGAAGGAATTAGGACATAATATATAATATAATATATTATATTATTCAATAATTATCAAAAATCGCCGCACGAAAGTGATTTTTTTTTTAAATGTTGTGATTTGTCCCACCATACGCCGTTCAAACTGATGTACGGTACTGGGATGTTTGGAACTATTGAGAGCTCCATGAACCACGTGACCGCGAGTCAGCGAGTTCAAAGCATGTCACAACTCTCTCTTTCTATAGCTCTGGGTTGGACTATCCAATCTCTGGGGATGAGGTCACTGAGGTGGACGAAAAGCTCCTTGGTGGCAAAGCTAACGGGTGGATGAGATCCGCTCGGAGTTCCTTAAGGCTCTGGATGTTGTAGAGCTGTGTTGGCTTACATGGCTCTGCAATATCGCATGGGCATTGGGGCAGTTCCACTGGGGTGGTGGTTCCCCTTCTTAAAAAGGGGGATAGCAGGGTGTGTTCCAACTACTGGGGGATGACACTCCTGAGCCTCCCTCATAAGTTCTACTCAGTGGACCTGGATAGGAGGGTCCAACAGATAGTTGAACTTCAGATTCAGAAGGAGCAATGTGGTTTTCGTCCTAGCTGTGGAACACTGGACCAGATCTATATCCTTAGAGGGGTCCTGGAGGGTGCATGGGAGTTCACCCAATCTATATGTGCTTTGTGGATTTGGAGAAAGCTTTCGACCATTTCTCTCAGGAGGTCCTTTGGGAGATACCTTAGCAGCATGGGGTACCAGGCCCTCTGATGCGAGCTGTTAGGTTCCTTCACCTATGGTCACGAGTCTAGGATAGTGACCGAAAGAACAAGATCGTGGATACAAGTGGTCAAAATGAATTTTCTCCGCAGGGTGTTTGTGCTCTCCCTTAAAGATAGAGTGAGAAGCTAGATCATTCAAGATGGGCTCGGAGTAGATCTGCTGCTTCTCCACAATGAGAGGAGCCAGTTGAGGTGGCTCGTACATCTAGTTAGGATGCCTTCTAGATGCCTCCATGGTGAGTTTTTTCGGACATGTCCAACCGAGAGGAGACCTAAGGAAGACCAAGGCCAACTTGTAGGGACCATGTCTCTTGGCTGGCCAGGGAACACCTTGGGATTCCTCCAGAAAAGCTGGCCCAAGTGGTTGGGGAGAGGGAAGTCTGGCCCTCTTGGCTGCTGCCCATGTGATGACTGATAAAGTGAAGAAAATGGAAAGACGGACTCATTTATATTTTGTAGCTGAATTTCCAGGTCTTCAGGGTAAACTGTGACACATTGTAAAAATTATGAACAACAAATCTCAACCCATCTTAATGAAACTGAGATATTTTGTTCACTCTTTGCCACCAACCTTTTGCTAAACTGAGAACAATGAACCATTTTTCCACCAAATGCCTCATTAATTTCTTCTGTTAAACAATTCCTTTGGGTTGTTGCTCATTACATATACACGATTATTTTTACAAAGCCAAACAATCTTTATATTGATTTAAATTCTTACACAATTACACACAGCTGAATGTGTCTACTAAAACATTTAGAGCTTAATATTTTATGCCTGATGACATCATTTTTAGTAAATAGTTTGACATTGCATCATCTTCTCAACCAATCCTGTCTCATCATCTTCTGTGTATCTGATTCGCTTGGTCAGAAACCCTTGCAAGGAAGCCCAGACTGTCTTCTCCCCAGCCAATTATGCTGGTTAATTCAGTAGGATCCTCTCGCAATCCTCCCAGACCTCCTCCAAGACAAACTGTCCCAGATGAACGTGCCTGACCCGATCTGCAAGTGGATCACTGACCTCCTGATGAACTGGAAGCAACAAGTCAGGCTGGATAAGAATCTCTCGCACCTGCTGACCATCAGCATCGGTTCCCCTCAGGGTTGGGTTCTCTCCTTTCCGCTCTTCTCCCTGTACACCAACAGCTGCACCTCCAACCACGAGTCTGTCAAGCTTTTTGCAGATGACACCACCATCATTGGACTCATCTTAAGAAGCACACAGCCCCATTCCCCCCATAACCCTGTCTGACATTCCCATCCCGATGGTGGACTCTTGTTGCTTCCTGGGCAACATCATCACCTCCGTAACAAAAAAGGCCCGGAGTACTTCCTGAGGCAGTTGAAAAAAATTCAAACTGCCAGTACAGTTGCCAGTCAGTTCTACACCACAGTCATCGGGTGCATCCTCACTGCTTCAATTACCATGTGGCTGGAGCCACCATCAGGGACAAGACGAGGCTGCAGCATGTTGTACGTTGTACTGCTGAGGTCATTGGCTGAAAACTCACCTCCATACAGGACCTGTGCACCTCTGGGACATTGAGGCATGCAAGTCAGATCACAGCTGACCCATGTCACCCTGGACACAGTCTTTTTGACTCGCTCCCATCTGGCAGGAGGCTCAGATCCACTCGGACCAGAACCTCTTGCCACAGAAGCAGTTTCTTCCCGTCTGCTGATGGACTCATTAATGACAATCGTTGTCCACTCCAGTTGCTTGGTTTCAGTCACATGACCCTGGGTTGTGTTTGCACCTGAACTGATCCTCTCTGATCACTTCTCTTATCATTGCCACTTTATATTATTATTTTATTATGATTATACTATTTTTATATCTACTTCACTCTTCTTCTATCTTTAGTTTTGCACCAAATACCTCAGCCATTTCCTAATGTTGTAATTTCTCGCACACATGGCAGTAAAACCCTTCTGGTTCTGATTCTGATTCTGATTCCGATTTTGATCTCAGGTGCTCCTGAGTCATGCTAGAGACGTAACTGTCCAGCATCTCCTGGGTCAGCCACCATGAGGCACAACAGAACTGAGATATCACTGCACCAACCACATCAGGATACTTAACAGTAACCATTTTTGCTGAAAAGTGCACTATTAGAAATTATAGTGCATTTAGTGGCAAACGCTTCCCTAGGTTATCTGTCAAAAATGCCCGAATCCATACTTGTGAGAGCACAATGTGAGCACCTGTGTGTGTACATGCTCTTGTGTATGTAAGGTGCATTTATAGGAGTGCCTAATAGTGAGAGTGAGGGCCCACAAATACCACAAAAGATGGAGTAGATCCAGGTCCCAGGCATCCCAGAGGTTCTTCCGGAGCGCAGAGACCCCAGGGAGAGGCCACTGAAGCAGCACCCACCCCTCGAGAGGCCCTTCCAATAGGCGCAGAGGATCAACCTGGGGAGGGCAACAAGCATCCGTGCCAGTAGCCCAGGAGACAATAAGGGCTAGCACCCAAGCTCGCCAGCAACCGCCCACCCCAGGGGACGCCAAACTCAGAGCTCAGTGGCCTGGGACCTAAGGGCACCCAATCCTGGCAGAGCCTGGAGCTGACAGAGCCCAGGGGCCGGGACTCCACCAGGCAACCACCAAGAGTGAGATGGCAGATTCCAAAACTTCCAGTGCCAAATACAAGTGCTGATGACAGAGCTACCTCACACTGTCACTTAACATCCATCTTGACGTTAATACTTCAATGGTCACTCACATCACTGCAGATGTTGCACGACCAAACTGTTGGTCTTCTACTCCCTCCTTCCCCCATGAACAAGCTCCTGAGATACTTGAAC